GTGTCACACACTGCGCGTTTATCGCCCTCTAAACCTTTCACACCAACCACTTTCAAACATTTTCACAAACTCACCTTTATTTTTTTTTCTTCACTTATCCGTAAAAATAAACCCACACAGCCTGCAAAAATCGACCTCAATTAACAAGTCAGGATTCAGCACATAACCGGACCGAGATTTCGAACTAAACATAACGGCTGTATTTAAAATACGTCCGGTAAGGGAGTTTGGCGCGAAAGCAAGAAGGTGCGTGCACTGCAGCAAGCCAGCAATTCCCACGATCAATCGACGTAGTTGCGTGGCCCGTGCAACGGAAATTTTCACGCTGTAGAAAGTTTCAGAAGTCGTGCAACGAACATGGACATCTAAAATGTAAGCTTGGCGTTGTATACTAGACAATGTGAGCAAATTAAGGCGTGGAAAGTGAAAGTCATGCATCGCGTATCGTAGCAGCAATAAAAATGTACGATACCTTGGAAAGATCCGCCCTAAAAATTCATCGGAGGGTGTTTGTTTCTTGTAGCCGTACTAAAGGTTGTAATTTTGCGGGTTGTTAACATTTTGTGCTGAAACTTTCGTCGAGAAACTTTCCCCGTTGAACGCGTTACGCAACTATGGCGATCGATGAGGAAAACTACGTCGTGTAAGAAAACTCGAGAGTCACCCGGCAGCTTCTCTTCGCTGATTGGCCAGAAAAAAATTTTTCTGGCCAATCAGAAGCAGGCAATTCAAACGCTTCTGGAACTGGTTCGGTAAGAGTAAGTGCCCAGGGGCTCGTCTCGATCTTACAGTAAACTTTCACCACGAATATTTTATCGACCCGACTAACTGCCCCTGGGTCTCCGAGGATGGAGAGATCTGGGAACGACAATGACCCACTAACTCCCACACCGGGTAGGGTAGGGGAGAAAAGAAAACGAGACAAATGCATTTCGAAAAGATCATCTTACCTTATATAGCCATGGCAACGGGCATATTTCGATGATTGGATTTCATGGTATTGGTATCTTGTTTCATGGCATTTGTATTTCATTTCGTTGTATTTCGTTACATTTTATGAATTTCGTTACGTTTCGTTTTATGTCATCGAAAAGGGATTTTGCTACAGATGGCGCGCCATAATGGGTGGGGAGTTATTTTGGCATTAAAAGTCTGCTCGATATCACGCTAGAAAAGCTTAGACGCAGATTCTCAGGCTTAAACTATCAAGAGTTACCAAGATTTCTACAATTTGGAGGTAAGAGTAGATATCTTTGACCCAAAGGCAAGTTAATATGCATAACCTATGCTACATCAGATTAGAGGGAAGCACAAACGTCATATTTAAGTTACAACGAATGCGAAGCCACTGAGCTCAAACAAGGAAGTGAAGTCTATTTTTCGTATTTACGCTTCCAATATGAGCATACCAAGGCTAAACAAGAAACAATCGTGCAAATCTTTTAAGGCTGAACTTGCCTACTAGTTTGATGGTTTTCACGGTGACGTCATCAGATTGCAAAGTCAAAAAAGCGAGCTTTTACGAATTCTTATATTCACTAGGTTGAAGATTAATAGGAAATAAATCTTTGTACAAGTTTCCAGCCCCGAAGCATGTTTCATTTCGAAAATACAGCAGTTTGAACTTCCGAGTTTTCACAGTGCGTGACACCAAAAAAGGAATGCTATCTCCTTGAAAAAAGTCTCTCCGCTTGATTTTCAGCAGTTTAACCATTTCAAGTATTAGAAGATATGTTTATGCGCAAGTATGCTAGTTCTCGAGTGAAAAGAAGGAGCTTTTATAGAAAAAGTGAACGCCAGATGTTTTTGTTGATTTCCGGCGGCCATATTGGTGGACAGTTTCTGTCCACCAATATGGCGTCTCCATACAAAGCTCTACAAAGGCGGCGTGAAATGTTTCGGCAACTAACTCAGAAACTGTGGGCCACAAAGACCTGAGATTTGGACAAATTGTTTATATATTAGTCTTCTATAACATTTCATTTTCTTGGCTTTTTCCACTGGACGGTTTCAAATGTATTTTTTTGTGCCGTGTTTATTGCGTGACAGTGAAAACGAAGAATAAGAACTGCGACATGTCTTGTCGAATTGAGTTTATGGTTAAAGGCCAAACTCTATACTAGAAACTAGTAGATCGTAGACAACCGGCCTCAAATGATTTGACATAGAGGATTTACGCTACGATCAAATTTCTAAGTTTCTTAGTGTTTTAGTGAGTTACTATTTCATTTTTGAAAAATCTGGGATTTAGGAATGAGTAACGCAATATTGTTATCAAGGCCGAGCAGGCATTCTTCAACAAAGTTCATGTGGCGTGCACTGGTAACATATTTCGTATAGCTCTTTCGCGACGTTGCCAACATGCACGAGTAAATTGCTGCGCGACAACTAGCGACTATTACATGTTTTGTCCGGATAAAATTAGCCCATTAACGAAATACCTTTCTGATACTGGTCTTTCCTAAATCAACCCTAGATTAAAAAATTCAGTATTCCCCTTCAGAAAGATATCCTTTTCAGCTTTGGTTAACGTGGCCTGCTGCTGTCGTATTATACTATCACTATGAGCTTAGTCAGTTTTGCATAACCCCCTCTTTAACTTGAACGCAATTGGAGGTTTCTATTTAAGAATTTGCGGCCACACATTTCTTTATTATACCATTTCAGTTCTTTACATTATCAAAACATCAATAATAAAGTACCTTGTTAACACACCTAACAGGCCAGTCTCAAGTTATTAAAATGTAATTGTTAAAATGTTAATATTTTTCTAATTATTAAAATCACGTTGAGATTCAGGGGTGAATAATTACTTTCTTTTGTTTTTTTTTTCCTCATCAGCCTTGGAGCCCAATATGACTTTCGATAATTCGAAACTAGCTAGTTAGCTGTCCCACGTACTCTTACTATATATATTAAGACCTATTAAGTCTAACCGCCCAAAATGCGAACTCTTTCCTCCGCAGAGGCTCCAGCTGGGTTTCCCAATAAAAATAGCAATAAGCCTCTCTTCTATCTTTCCCGTTCCCATCGTGCCCTGCACGCTCTCTCTCTTTTTTTCTCCCCAGTCTCCCTACAACACAAAAGAGGCCTCTGCGGAGGAGAGAGAAATGCGAAGATTAATGTGGTTGCCTACAGTCAGGAGTTTTCTAAATTTTCCGTAATTTTGTTTTAAACCTGATTTCAAGTTTCCATAAAATTTCCGTGGCAACAACTTCTAATCTATGTAGTGAAAATGAAATGATCAGCATGTCACGAGCCTGGGGCAAAGAAAAAATCCCGATTGGAGTCCCCGATAGGATAAGAACCTATGTCCTCCCAAATACCGGGCGGGCCCTCTATCCACTTGAGTTACGGCGAACTTAAGGAGAGCGAGGCCAATTATACTAGGTTCATACTCGACACGCGTCCTGCATATTGCATAACTTCTAATTTAGTTACAGCTCAAATACTGCAACCATATCTTGAATAAATTCTAATTTGCCTTTTGTATTATTGAATTGTTCTCTACTCAGGTATGGATAAAATGCAATGGGCTCGTGGTTTGTTCCCATTCTTAAGTAAGTCATGAGCAATCGAAGGTGAAATGCTGAAAGTTCAGGGACACCGAACGATGTTTTCCTCCTAAAAACATTTAAAACACTTTTTAGGCTATCCAGAGTACGTACTTTAATAACTCTATAGAAATGCATTCTGAGAGACGCTATGAATCTACCTGGTCATTCTAAGGCAATCTGAGTCTTCTCGAAATTACAGTTCAGTTTCCAGAAAACTTTAGATGCAGTTTAAAGATTCACGAAAGTGAGATTTTTAGTGGTTCCTCTCTTCATCACGTTTAAAATCTGAAAATTTTAGGTTTCCTTTTTCTACGAAAAATATACCTTAACCTGGGGAGTTGAATGCGAGAAATTAATTTCAGAAAATCGTAGGCGACTTACTAGAAAAGCTTCGAAAATTTTCTACGTTAATGGAACGTTCATCTAGAAACTTTTAGTCGTCTTCAAGTTATAGAAAAGTACAGACAATTTTTGCTTTTCCAAACAGATATTTTACAGAAAACAGTCGTTGGGTACCCAAAGACAAGACAAGACAAGACAGACAAGACTAAACAAGAGAATTAACGACAACATAGAACTACCGAAAGCTAGTACCGTAGTAATCCTCTTTCTTTTATAGGGTCTAATGACAGTTTCAAAGATAGGGAATAAAAAATCAGTCTCAATTCTTTGTATGTTCCAACTTGCACAGAAATATTTTGTTTCTTTACTTTTACGGACAACAGTTTTCATGTACGGTCACTTAGGTTCAAGACGGACACCAGTCAGTGGTGGATCTAGGGGAGGGCCCCCTTACTTTTAGACCAAATTTAGGCCCGAAGGGCCGAAAAAACTTTTTGTTGAGTCCGGGCTCCTCCCTTATCTCAGGAGGCTGGATGACCGCCCCCCTCCCGTATCTGAAGGTCTGGATCCGCCACTGCTCTTACATACAAACAGTATCAAAAATTACGTGTATTGTCTTTGATAACAGGTACCTTTGTGTTGATGACATCTGCCTCAGTGTTATCATCAGATCATACAAACATTAAGTCGACGGGTGTTTTGGATGCAGCAGTGAATTCAAATGTGGCAAGCCAAAATACAGCCGCTGTACCTTCATCGTCTTCTCTGTCGATGTCATCCTCAAAAGATTTTCATTCAAGTACTTTGGCCATAAGTAGTTCGCCATTTGAGGTACTGAGCGCTGGCATGGCAAACAAGCAAACTATAACCCCCTTAACTTTGGTCTCGTCTGTGCTGGTGACGTCATCAGTTCTTGTGTCAACATCAGTTGTTCCTTCAAGCACTCTATCCAGAAGTTACTCATCATCTGTCGCCACAATGAGCTCGAATCTGATCACAGAACAAGGTGCATCCGTACTGCCCTCGGTGTCTTCCTTAATTGTGTTATCGTCAGCTATTTCTCTGAGCAGTTTGCCACGAGGTCATTTGTCATCTGTTGTAATGAACACTACTTTGGCAATAGATAAAAGTACGCCTGAAACACCTTCACCATCTTCTATGCTGCTCGTATCTTCAACAGTGGTTTCGCAACAGTCAGGTACGTTATTTTCAGATGATCTCATTGAGATACAACGAACATTACAGTCGAACCTTCACGTGAAACCATCTCGACACCCTCCTCTAACCGACCATGTATCCAAACTACCAAAAGTTTCCCAGTCAGAGCCCTATAATTGGAACCTCTCTAAAACGACCGCCTCCTATAAGCGTCCGTAGTAACCTTCTTTCGTTTATACGGTCTAATAACAGTTGTAAAGACAGGGAATCAACTCGCACAGAAACTTTTTGTTCATTTTTGTCTCTACTTTTACGGACAACAGTTTTCGTGTATAGTCAACTACTCTCAAGACGGACATCAGTCAGTGGTGGATCCAGGGGAAGGGCCCCCCTTAATTTTAGACCAAACTGAGGTCCGAAGGGCAGAAAAAAAATTTTGTTGAGTCCGGGCTCCTCCCTTATCTCAGGGTCTGGATGACCGCCCCCCTCTCTTGTCTGAAGGTCTCATCCGCCACTGCACTTACATACAAACAGTATAAAAAATTACGTGTATTGTCTTTGATAACAGGTACCTTTGTGTTGATGACATCTGCCTCAGTGTTATCATCAGATCATACAAACAGCAAGTCGAGGGGTCTGTTGGATGCAGCAGTGAATTCAAATGAGGTAAGCCAAAATACAGCCGCTGTACCTTCATCGTCTTCTCTGTCGATGTCATCCTCAAAAGATTTTCATTCAAGTACTTTGGCCATAAGTAGTTCGCCATTTGAGGTACTGAGCGCTGGCATGGCAAACAAGCAAACTATAGCCCCCTTAACGTTGGTCTCGTCTGTGCTGGTGTCGTCATCAGTTCTTGTGTCAACATCAGTTGTTCCTTCAAGCGCTCTATCCAGAAGTTACTCATCATCTGTCGCCACAATGAGCTCGAATCTGATCACAGAACAAGGAACATCCGCACTGCCCTCGGTGTCTTCCTTAATTGTGTTATCGTCAGCTATTTCTCTGAGCAGTTTGCCACGAGGTCATTTGTCATCTGTTGTAATGAACACTACTTTGGCAATAGATAAAAGTACGCCTGAAACACCTTCACCATCTTCTATGCTGCTCGTATCTTCAACAGTGGTTTCGCAACAGTCAGGTACGTTATTTTCAGATGATCTCATTGAGATACAACGAACATGACTGTCGAACCTTCACGTGAAACCATCTCGACATCCTCCTCTAACCGTGCATGTATCCAAACTACCAAAAGTTTCCCAGTCAGAGCCCTATAATTGGAACCTCTCTAAAACGACCACCTCCGATAAGCGACCGTGACCACCTTTTGATTTTAATATAATAGTTTTCCGTTGTTTTTGAACCCCTTGTAAGCGACCACGAGACGCTCGACCACTCTATGTTCGCTGTACGTACCACTCCACTCAGATTATATGAAGAAATTTAATTTTAACAACATGGAATAACAAGTATTCGAACTTGCGAATTCCAGGCAATTAACTCGCTGCTCTGCCAAAAAGGAAGATGTGAAAACCACAGAGTTGTGGTGTCTGAGGAGAATTAGCAGAATTTTCGGGCATCAAAAGGGCAGCAAAATTTAATAAACAGCTCATGAATAAATGCGCGGGAAACTTGTTTAATTTATGCTAACCATGTTCAGGCAAGTACTAGTAATGACGTCACAACACCATAAGGTCCATTTGACAGTTTTTTAGCAAGCCCATTATTGTCAGAAGAGATCCCTTGTGGTTTATTGCTCGTTTACTGGAGGTTAACAGCGTCTTAAACAGGCGGAGTAACAATCCATGCTCAATTTCTTTCTACAAGAAGATAGTCTGCACCTAGACATGATAATTTGGCTTAGTATTACAACAAATTAACCTTCTTTTCGTTGAACTGATTTGGCTAATTTCTTCTGGTGTTATTTCTTCAGGCAGCCGAACCAGATTTTTACGCCATCTGACTCTGAAAGAATACAATGCTCGATAGCAAGGAGGGTTCTCAAAGCGTTTTGTGGAAAAATTGAGAGAATTGTAATAAAAAATTTTAATTGAAGGAGAAAATTTCTGGGGACCAGGTCTAGATGCAAACTTATGCTTCGTTCACACGGCACCGGACGAATTGTCGACCAGTTGAACATTCGAGCGTTTAGGATATGATCTGTTAACTGAACAGCTCAAAATTTGATCGCCAAAACCGAGGTCAATCTTTAGCCGGTACGGCCCTGTTAGTTATTTTAAATTTGCCGCCAAGGCCATTAAGCCTCACTTCCATGCAACTTCCGTTTTTTTTCTGGAATCGGAGTATTATAAAATTTCTTTGGCTTTGTGGGTTCCATTTTCGCTGAAGAAAGCTCTCCGGCAAGAGCCAAACATGTACGGCGAACAATCTAGTTTGCGGTTAACCTTCCTCGTATAAGAAAATCGCGAAAGCAACACGATAGATACTGGCTTCTTGTTGGGCACTAGATTATTTTTTGTGCCAAATCACAGACAGTTATTCCAATAAGTCGTGAAACTGGTTCGTCAAGAGTAGCATCCCAGCGGTAGTCTCGCCCATTCTTAAAAACTTTCGACGCCGTTTTTCCTGACTCAACTGACCGCCCCTGGGTCTCCAAGGATGCTTGTACCAAAGTAATAACTATAATATTTTTTACAAACACATTTCTCATATATATTAGTTAAAGTTGCGTCGTCTGTGAGTTTTCCTGATGTAGCTGTTTTTCACATGGGCTTTCATAACAAAGAAAGTCAACCTGAACGACAGAACAAATCTCCATATTAAATAAGGCGCAGACGCTTAATACCCACTAACATGTTCGTTTGAGTCACCGAACGGACTCTTAAAAACATCGTAGGAAGGCAATCAACTGTTTGTGGCTTGTTCACAATATAATCTCGATAACTGAAAAAAGTTATTCCAGCCACGAACCAAAAAAAGCTTCTGGCGTATCCCAAAGTTATTACAGTCCTTCCGTCCCGCATTTGGTTTTGTTCTTGTTCCTTCCCACGTTAGCTAGCGTCTTTTTTGAAAGTGGTATAATTCTAATTATCCTCAATACTTACTCTCCGTCAATTTATATTGCTTGCAGTCTGTCCCAATATGGTAACCCTGAAGGAGACATCAGGAGTTCTTACCAGTCCTTACTATCCAAGGCGTTACCCTTCTAACGAGAAATGCAGCTGGAAAATTACAGCTAATGAAGGAGAACGCATTGTGTTGGTCATTGAAGACCTTTATATTCGGTCCTGTGGTTCATCTTGCACGTGTGATTACCTTGAAATACAAAATGGCTCTTCCTCTGATGGCATTTCAGGCAGGCGAAGATGTAGATACTATGAAGACCGTGGGATAGTATACCATTCGGCAAAAGATATCCTGAGGTTGACGTTTGTTTCTGATAGTGGTACTGACCGGTACTACCGTGGATTTAAGGCAACTTACATTAAAGTGAAATATATTGCAACAACCACCGGTAAGTTATTTAGAAATCGGCTTTAAACAATAAGTTAAAGGTTTAAGTGCAGGCGATCAACTTTCAACCAAGTTATATGAAATATTATTGCCTTATAACAGGCTTATGGTAACTGTAATATTCAATTACTTTACGGAGTAAAACAACCCACAATAAAATGCCCATCAAATGTCAACAATTTTCATTGCCATGGTGTTAAAAGTGTTTGGTGGAAAATCTCGTATTTTTTCATAATTATCTATTACAAAGCTTTCGATTTGGTTTTTTGTTTTGCTTTGTCTTTTTTTGGTTTCAGACAGATTACTCTTTGATTTTGCATTATAAAGCTAAATCATAGTTTGTTTCCTCTTGTTGCAGCTTGTACCTCTGGCGAATACCTTAATGGATTTAGTGGATTCTTTTCAAGTCCAAATTTTCCAAATAACTATCCTCAATACAGCATGTGTACCTGGAATATCACAGTTCCCAGCGGGTACATAATTAAACTCAGCTTCCTCTACTTTCGATTGGAGCCATATCAGTACAGTCCCTGCTATTATAGTGCTCCAGGAGCCCGTGTTACAGTTACAAATGTTACTTCAGATGATGGGTATCAACCGTTCATGCTGTGCGGTCAACAACTTCCAGATCCAGTGTACTCAGTGGGGAATTCAATGCAAGTCATATTCACGTCTCTGAGCAGTCAATACTCAGGGTTTAATGCAACTTGCACGGCTATCACTTATAGTTCAGGTACGTGGTATACATTATAAAAACAAAAACAATTACTTTTTATGAAGTTAGATCGATCTCACACTATCAGACAATGTCGGTACTTAACAGGCGACCAAAAGAATCGACTCCGAAATTATTGACGTATTACTGCTTGAAAATGTAAAAGAGCAAAAGAGGAACACGATTGGATCGGTAAAACTGAACAAGATATTGCATTCAGGTATATTTAAGGAACACGTCTATTTCAAGTTTGTCGTCTTTACATCGTACGCAAGTCTGATGCTCTCGAGAATCATCAGTTTCTAAGTGGAGATGACAATTTTGTTCGCCTACGAGATCTCTTTTAAGGCTCAGAGTCAACAAAGAAAGATCAAATTATCCAAAATAACGTGGCTTAAAGCCTTAAAATAACCAAGATATACGGGATAACAAACTCGTGCTTGACAAGTATTGTAGTATTATTTAAGACATGGATTTTTCTTGGTGGTGCAGAGGAGTATGGTTAGAATGGTATGATTAGAACGCCAACAACGAGATTTCTCAAAATTGATTTTGAATTCGCATCTTTTCGTTTTTTGTTCTTATTCATTTGGAACCAATCGACAAATATATTCATACACTACCGTAGCTCCGTCGAAAACTATACCCGATTCCAGACCAAAACGGGCAAAGTCTATAACCGTTTTTGGATAAAAACGGCGCAAAAACCATACCAATTTCTTTCTACAGCAAGGTAATCTGTATCTAGAATGATTTGAATCATCACACGCCGTTTCTCCATTTTCCCTCAGTTCTTCAATCTGTCTCGCTAACTTTGCTTTACATAGTGAAGAGCCTCTCTGGGTCATTGTCATATAGTTTTAGATCTTTATTGCTTGCAGGTTCTTAACCCTGAGAAGAAAATTTTTTTATGAAAACATGTGTCTAAACTTCTATGTAATCTTATAGTTGAGAATAAACAGCATAAACAGCTGATCGATCGCGCAAAGCCTGATGATGTACACCTACCTTTCCAACAGTTCCTTCTTATTACCATTTTGATTTATACGGCGGCATTTTAACCAAAACTTTAGTTGAGCAAAGGTCAATTTTTCTGTATCTCTTCTTCACTGAAGCCAGCAAGAGGAATGTTCCCTCAAGTAAGTCCGCTATGTTAGTTATTAGGTAGCTTACGATCCGATGACGCGATGACAACGAGGACGTCGCCGTCAAAAAAGCAATAGGTTTACAAGGCAAAACTTTTTCTACTTTTTCCTACATTTCCTTTTATTGCGGACGTACACAAGCAACGACCAAACTTTATTTCTCTTTTGGAACTTGGAAAGGGATCCTAGCAATTCAACTCCAGGGAGGTTCGCTTACTTTTGATAAAGAAAATGGGTAGGAATGATCGCAATAAAGGCTGAAATAACGCAAATTCACTTTTTAAGTGACGTTTTTGCTGCCATCGCCTCGTCGGATCGTAAAGTCCCTATTTTAAATTTAAAAACCTCACATCCACACAACTTCCGTTTTTTTTTTTTCTAAAATCCGAGTATAAAAGAATTTCTTTGAGGCGCTTTCCATTCAACCCAAAATTCAGAAATTTTCGGTTGGTACATCAAATGGAACGGACCGTTTTGATTTGGTCTGACCGAAACATTCGGGACCAGCTTTGAAGGCGGTCCTCTTTAACCGGTCTGGTCATTTTGGTCGGTAATGTCCCTTTCCATTTGACAAAATTGTTGTTCCCAGTACTGCTCCCTTGTATCCTGGTTACAAGAACAATAACCAAACGCGCGGTGGCTTGGGTCGAGTCTATGCAACCGGAATGTACCGATCCATTAGGCTCGTAAATTTCCGATATTTCAAATCGGAATTTTTTTTGAATGGAAGGCGCCCTTGGGTTTTTGGGCTCCATTTTCGCCAAAGAAAGCTTCTGATCCCTTGCATGAGCCAAACATGTACGGTGAACAGTCGAGTTTGGAGGTAAACGTCTTCGTATAAGAAGATTACGAAAGCAGCGCGATAGATACTGGCCTCTTGTTGGGCACAAAATTATTGTTTTGGGCCAAATCACAGAGAAGCCTTCGAATAAGTCGTGGAACTGGTTCGTTAAGAGTAGCATTCCAGAGGCTCTCTCGCCCGTTCTTGAAAACTTTTGCCGCCGTTTTTCCTGACTCAACTGACCGACACTGGGTCTCCGAGGATGCTTCTACCAAAGTAATAAAAATAATCTTTACAAGTGCCCACGAACATATTTCTCATAGTTTATGTTGAGTTGTTTGTGAATTTTCCTAATGTAGCTGTTGTTCACATGAACTTTCATAACAAAGAAAGACAACCTGAACGACAGAACAAATCTTCGTGTTAAAGAAAGCGCAGGCGCCTAATACCTACTAAAATGTTTGTTTGAGTTATGGAACGGACTCTTAAAAACATCGGTCGTAAGAAGGCAGTCAATCGTTTGTTCACAATATAATCTCGATAATTTTAAAAAAAGTTTATTCCAGACACAAACCAAAAAAAGCTTCTGGCGCATCCCTAAATTATCAAATCCTTCCGTCCCGCATTTGGTTTTGATCTAATTCCTTCTCACACGCGTTAACTAGATTCTTTCTTGAAAGTGGTATTATTCTAATATGTCCTCGATACTTACGGTCCGTCCATTTATATGGCTTGCAGTCTGTCCCAATATGGCAACCCTGAATGAGGCATCAGGAATTCTTACCAGTCCTTACTATCCAAGGCTTTACCCTTCTAACGAGAAATGCAGCTGGAAAATTACAGCAAAAGAAGGAGAACACATTGTGTTGGTCATTGAAGACCTTTATATTCGGGACTGTGGTTCATCTTGCACGTGCGATTACCTGGAAATACAAAATGGCTCATCTTCTGATGGCATTTCAGGCAGGCGAAGATGTAGATACTATAAAGACCGTGGGATAGTATACCATTCAGCAAAAGATGTCGTGAGGTTGACGTTTGTTTCTGATGGCCGAGTTACGGGGTACCGTGGATTTAGGGCAATTTACATGAAAGTAAAATATAATGCAACAAACACCGGCACCGGTAAGTTATTAGAAATCAGCTGTAAACGCAGGGTTAAAGGTTTATGTGTAGGCCATCAGGTGATCAACTTTCAACCAAAATATATGAAATATTATTCCCCTATAACAGGCTTATGGTAACTGTAATATTCAAATACTTTACGGAGTAAAACAACCCAAGCTAAAATGCCGATGAAATGCTGACAATTTTGATTCGCAAGATGTTAAAAGTGTTTGTTCGAAAATCTCCTATTTTTTTTTATAATTATCTATTGCAACGCTTTTGATTTGGTTTTTTGTTTTGTTTTGTGTTTTTTTTTTTGGTTCACAGACAGATTACTCTTTGATTTTGTATTATAAAGCTAAATCATGGTTTGTTTCCTCTTGTTGCAGCTTGTACCTCTGGTAAATACCTTAATGGATTTAGTGGATTCTTTTCAACTCCAAATTTTCCAAGTAACTTCCCTCAGTACAGCACATGTATCTGGAATATCACAGTTCCCAGCGGGTACATCATTAAACGCAGCTTCGTCTATTTTCGATTGGAGCCACATCAGTACATTCCCTGCTATCGTTATGCTCCAGGAGCCCGTGTTACAGTTACAAATGTTGCTTCAGATGATGGGTATCAACCGTTCATGCTGTGCGGTCAGTCTCTTCCTCTTCCAGTGTATTCGGTAGGGAATTCTGTTCAAGTCATATTCACGTCTCTGAGCAGTCAATACCCAGGGTTTAATGCAACTTACACGGCTATAACGTATAGTTCAGGTACGTGGTATACATTATTTATAAGACATCAACGATTAAGATTGAAAAAACAACGTTAAGATTAAAAAAACATCACTAACAACAACTCGCCCTATAAAACGTGATCCAAGAAAATCTTGAATTCTGGATTCCACGCTGTGGACTCTGGATTCCAGGAACTGGATTCCGGTTGTCAGTGGCAGTTAGATTCCGGATTCCAGTCATAAGAGGGATTCCGGATTCCTAAGGTAGAATTGTTTTACCGATTCCGGTATTCGAATTACATTTATATTACATTGGGGGAAACGACAGTCATAAACAAACAGGCAAAATTTAAAACAATTACATTTTAGGGAGCTACTCACACTATCAGGCAATTTCTTCTTTGGCCTAGGGCGATTCGTTAAGCTCTCCTTTGTACCCTCTCAATTTCATGGATGTCTTTAGCTAGATGTGGTGACCACACCGGGCTAGCGTATTCAAGGATCGGAGGGACATACAAAATTAAAAAAATGTTTTTATTTTTACTCCTTACTGTGTGTTTAAGCAAGCCAAGAACCTATGTTTGCTTCATGAACTGTTTCATTGACATGTTTTGTCCAGCTCAGGTCATTCGCCATGATAACTCCAAGATCTTTATAATTGAATACATTTCTTAACTCAGTACCCGAGACTTGGTACCGTGTGGTACTTCTGTCTTTATTATGAGTGACTCTCATGACCTCACATTTACTAGGATTAAATTTTACCTGCCAGCGATCCACCCATAGATCAAGGGCGGTTAGATCAGATTTTAGCGGAGCCCCATAGCTTAGTAAATCTGTCGTGCAAGCGTGTCGTGCGCGTGCTTTCACCTTTAGCATCAAATTCCTGTGGAGGGTCACATTTGGTAATCACGTGACCGTACACCGACCGCTGACCGACCGTCCGTCCGCACCACAGGACAACCAATGTTTACTCTCACACTTTTAGCTAGTTTGGGAGCCCAAGAGAAAACTAATTGCACATCAATGTTGTGATCAATTGACAGCTGTCAAAACAGGGCATCCGCTGACCAGTATCTCCTGACCGTAGCGCGGGCTTAAGTGTCGACCCATCGAGGTCGAGTATTTTTTGAAGTTATCCGCTGACAAATTACCAGTTTGAAATGATCGCAGGCTCAAGTTTATTTCTTCCAAGGATTCATATCAAATATGTTGTGTTTATGTCACTATGGCCCCGCACTATTAGGATTTTGATTTTAAACTGACTTCGGAAGCAAAAATTCAGCCAGTTTTTTTAAAAGTACAGGCGGGGAAGACCTTATCTTACCATGGTCACGCGTTGGTTACGCTCTACGTCCAATTTTTATACTCTGATTGGTCAAAATTTGACAGGTGAGTTCACGCGAAAAAATTATGCAGCATCTTGAAAATTGTTTACTTTGACAGCTGAAGCTGAAGAGTTTTGTGTCAACTTGTGATGTTTTTAACTGTCTTTTTCTTCTGGATTTACAAAATGAAATACAGCTGCTATCAAGAGTCTTCTGTTATTTATGGCTGGTTTGTTTACTGGGTTTTTGGTTGAGAAACGCGTCGCTTGTCAAAATTTGTTAATTCGATTTCGGATGGCATCGTTGTCGTATTTCACCTTGCTTAATGCGTAAGAGGGTTTAAAAGTCTCAAGCAACTGTGGCCTTCCTTGATAGCTTTCAGGAACTGAATCTCGAATGGTAAGCCTGAGTAACTATTGTATTTCATGTTTGTTTTTGTTATATCTAATTTCATGAAGTCTTGCACAGTTCACGCTGACAGTTTATGCGGCAAGTTTATGCACGTTTGTAGCCGTAGTTTGAGTCAATGATCTGACCTAGTATCAGGTTTGAACGGTTTGATATAAGCTTACAGAACTTTAAAAAGCCTTCAGATATATTTGCTAACCACAGATAGAAAGAAAACGTTCCGAAGAATATTTAGTTATAAATTTGGCTGTAGAAAGAAAACTTTGAGCGATTTTCTTGCTTCGAGGAGTTCACCTTGGAAAACAGTAAACACCCGCGCCGGGAAGCCGGCTTATAAAGCTTCACGCCGAGACTAAGGATTTTTAGAGACACTTTAATACTTGTCTTCATGAATGAAAATTGTTATCTCTGTAAATGTTTTACCGAATTATATTCCTTTTTTTGATTGTTAGTAGTCTCTCTTGCAATTTTAATCGCTTGTCTGTGCCGTTTGTTTTCATCGTTCATGAACATCGCTTGCAGAAGTACTCAAAAATGTCGCGCGTATCAAACGCTTTATAAGATTACACATCGTTATAACTGAAACCATGAAATAACCATAAAAATAATAATAAATTCGCTATTATGTTGAAGCGTAACTCTATTAAAGTTCATTCAAACACTCGACCACACTGACAGCTCGCACTATAGAAACGAGAACCGGCTGGCCGTATGAGTGATTTTGGAAATTTTTAAACGGTTTCGCTTTACGATTATATTGATCGTCCTGAATATTGACTGAGTGCAATTTGTCTTTAAAAATTGTGAAATACTGCATTATGTCCGAGGTCTGTATGATAAATAGTACTGTTTCACCTCAAATGTGATGTATAAAAATTATAAAAGGTTGGTTTAAACACCCCCAGATTTGTTGGCAAGAATTTGTAAAGTAAACCCGTCGAACGCTAAAAAATTCGGCGTGACTTGTTTTCCAAGAATTTGTTTTCGAGCCCTAATCTACTGTGATCTTGAATGTGATCGAAGATGTTTGCTATTTTTTGGGTGGACATATAAGGTTATCAATTCGATGTAAGATGTTTCACTCTAAAAAAAGTCACATGAATGTGCCCTTAAGTTAAATGATTTGTGGATTAAAAGTTTATTGTTTGATTTAAATTATAAATTTCTTAATTGGAGCTTCGCTTTTAGCCCCGGCTAGCCTGAGTATCAGGCCTTCCTACGGGAATAGGGGACAGAAGATTTTTGATCGGGGAGGGGGGAGGGGGGAGAAGAGAAACGAAGGCCTGACACAAAACCATTCAACAAATCGTGTGACACATCCAGAATCTGGATGTGGCAGTGATTGGATAACACACAATACGCCCTGACGTCACCGACCGCAAGTAAACACGAGCAGAGTGTTTTGATAGCATGTGGTAATTTTATGGATAGAGACGCAGAGAGGAATTCAAAGAGACTCGAAAGGGCGCTCTCAAGTTCTTTCCGGGAATAAAAATAGAACCGGAGCAAGAATTGTGTTTTCAAAGCCTCGTAGTTAAAAGGAAAGATGTTCTCGGAGTATAGAAAAGCCTCATATACCAGCTTCTGCCGAAACTGAAATGTCTGAGTATTGGTTTCACAAGACCAGGACAAAGAAGACTATATCAGTGCTTCAGATATCTAAGTTTTGATTTGCAACATCCTGCCGCTAAAAGGGTATCGTTACTGTAAATAAAATTAGAGCGAGGTAGCCATGTATTGAGAATAGCCGACAGCACCAAGGCTTTAGCTTGACTTTAGATTTTCCCTCGGACGATTTTCGGCCTGATCTACAGCAGCTTTTTAGCTGCCAGATTCTCAGGAACCTGCTTATTAATGAGCGCCGCTGTTGTAACTCTGTAACAAAAGCAGTTTACAGTTTTCCGGGCACACGTTTATTTACAAACAGAGCGTTGGCGATCTTACATTAGCACAATTCCTAAAACATGTTATAAAACATGTTCAAAAACGACAGGTTTTCCATTACAAGTATTCGAAAACTCCTCATTGGAGGTTTCAGAAAAAGCGAAATCGTAGCTAGCCTGCGAAAACATCCGTTTCTCCTTGCTCTTCGCCGATGGGGACGTTTCGCGAGGAGGAACGCGCGAAACGTCCCCATCGGCGAAGAGCAAGGAGAAACGGATGTTTTCGCAGGCTAAATCGTAGCAACAGAAGCACCAGAGCTCGGCCAGACCGTATGGTGAGATTTATTTTAGGCGAGCTTTTTTGACACGTGAAGCTGACAAACCAATGACCGGATGTGATTTTGATTGGATGGTATCGAATCATGCTGTTTTGGGGTGGAAGGCTCCAGTAAAAGCATCTGTGTCAGGCGTTTCTCTCCTTCAGCTCTCTCCCTTTTTCGCTTCCATCTTTCCCCTTTTCCCCCAGAAACGCCTGATACTCAGGCTAGCCCCGGCTAAATCTATATATTAAAGCCTTAGAATCTTCCATTTTGTTTATCTGTCTATAGATTTTGATATCCTCAGCAAATAACTTGGCGGTAGATGTAATAATGTTAGGTATGTCGTTCACGTAAATAGGGAACATAATCGGACCCAGGATTGAGCCTTGAGGGACGCCAGATATAACAGGCGACCATTCGGAATACGATCCACGTATCTGTACTCTTTGTCTTGTGTTGGTTAAGAAATATCCTGAACCTGAGTTTCCCGTCTATACCGTTCCTATTGAGCTTTAAAAGCAGGTGCTCATTGGGGCCACTGTCGAACGCTTTCGAAAAGTCCAGAAATATAACATCAGACACCTTTCCGACAGTTTCTTCTTATTACCAGTTTGATTTATACGGCGGCAATTTAACCAAAACTTTAGTTGAGCAACGGTCAATTTTTCTATCTCTTCTTCACTAAAGCCAGCCTGGAGTAAGATCGACTTGATCGTCCGCCGTGTTAGTTAATTTAAATTTGCCGCAAGGGCCATTAAGCCTCGCTTCTATGTAAATTCCGTTTTTTTTTTTCTGTAATTGGAGTATTATAAAAGTTCTTTGGTTTTGTGGGTTCATTTTTGCTGAAGAAATCTCTCCTGCAAGAGCCAAACATGTACGGCGAACAATCGATTTTGCGGTTAACCTTCCTCGTATAAGAAGATCGCGAAAGCAACGCGATAGATGCTGGCCTCTTGTAGGACACTAAATTATTTTTTGTGCCAAATCACAGACAATTAATCGAGCAAGTCGTGAAACTGGTTCGTCAAGAGTAGCATCCCTGGGTCCTCTCTCCCGTTCTTGAATCCTTTGGACGCCGTTTTTTCTCCCTCAACTATCCGCCCCTGGGTCTCCGAGGGAGGATGCTTTTACCAAAGAGATAATAAGTTACCCACGAACATATTTCTCATAGTTAATGTTGTGTTGTTTGTGAATTTTCCTCATGTAGCTGTTGTTCACATGAGCTTTCATAACAAAGAAAGACGAACTGAACGACAGAACAATTTTTCAAGCCAGAGTAAAAGCAGACGCCTAATACCGACTAAATTGTTGGTTTGAGTCACGGAACATCCTCGGAGACCCAGGGGCAGTCAGTCGGGTAGGGAGAAAAGGCGGGACGAAAGTTTTCAAGTACGTGTAGGAACTCACGAAAACAATTCAGTAGAAACTGTTCGCCGATTGGGCACAATAATACAAAGCATTTTTTGTGCCCAATCAGGAGCCGGTATCCGCTTGAATGTTTGGAAATAGCTTGGTGAGAGTCGGTACCCACGGGCTCTTTCACCCGTACTTCAAAACGTTCGTCCCGCCCTTTCTCCGGACCGGACTGACTGTCCCTGGGTCTTCGAGGATGGTCGCGGAACGGACTCTCAAAAACATCGTAGGAAGGTAGTCGATTGTCTGTGAATTGTTCACAATATAATCTCGATAATTAAAAAAGTTATTCCAGAACAAACAAAAAAGCTTCTGGCGCATCCCTAGATTATTTAGTCCTTCCGTACCGCTTTTGGTTTTGGTCTAATTCCTTCTTACGTTAACTAGATTCTTCCTTGAAAGTGGTATAATTCTAATTATCCTCAATACTTACGCTCAGTCCATTTACATGGCTTGCAGTCTGTCCCAATATGGCAACACTGAATGAGACATCAGGAGTTCTTACTAGTGCTTACTATCCAAGACGTTACCCTTCTAACGAGAAATGCAGCTGGAAAATTATAGCAAGTAAAGAAGAACGCATTGTGTTGGTCATTAAAGACATTGATATTCGCAGCTGTGGGTCATCTTGCACGTGTGACTACCTGGAAATACAAAATGGATCATCCTCTGATGGCATTTCACGCAGACGAAGATGTAGATACTATAATGACCGTGGGACAGTATACTATTCGGCAACAGATGTCCTAAGGGTGACGTTTGTTTCTGATATTGGTACTTACGGGAGGTATCGTGGATTTAAGGCAACTTACATTAAAGTGAAATATAAATCAACAACCACCGGTAAGTTATTAGGAACCGGCTTTAAACGCAAAGTTAAAGGTTCTTGTGTAGGCGACCGGGTTCTCAATTTTCAAGCAGGGAAAATAAAATATTATTGCCTTATAACAGGGTCACGGCAACTGTGACATTCAAATACTCTACACAGAGTAAAGCAACACAAACTAAAATGTCGATGAAATGCCAACAAGTTACATTGATATGATGTTAATAAAAGTGTTGGCAGAAAATCTCATTTTTTATGTTTATCTATTGCAATGCTTTCGATTGAGTTTTTTTGTTTCGTTTTTCTTTTTGGTCCACAGACGGAGTACTCTTTGATTTTGATTATAAACAAGCTATATCATAGTTTATTTCCTCTTGCTGCAGCTTGTACCTCTCGCGAATATCTGAATGGATTTAGTGGATTCTTTTCAACTCCAAATTTTCCAAGTAACTTCCCTCAGTACAGCAGATGTACCTGGATTATCACAGTTCCCAGCGGGTACATCATTAAACTTAGCTTCTTCTATTTTCGATTGGAGCCAAATCAGTACAGTCCCTGCTATTATGATGCTCCAGGAGCCCGCGTTACAGTCACAAACGTTGCTTCAGATGATAGCTATCAGCCGTTCATGCTGTGCGGTCAGTCTCTTCCTCCTGCAGTGTACTCGGTAGGGAATTCAGTTCAAGTCATATTCACGTCTCTAAGCAGTCAATACCCAGGGTTTAATGCAACTTACACGGCTATAACGTATAGTTCAGGTACGTGATATACATTATTTATAAGACATGAACGATTAAGTTAAGATTAAAAAAACATCACTAACAACAACTCGCCCTATAAAACGTGATCCAAGAAAGTCTTGGAATCTGGATTCTACGCTGTGGACTCTTGATTCCAGGAACTGGATTCCGGTTGTCAGTGGCAGTTAGATTCCGGATTCCAGTCACAAGAGGGATTCCGGATTCCTAAGGTAGAATTGTTTTACCGATTCCGGTATTCGAATTACATTACACTGGGGGAAACGGCAGTCATAAACAAACAGGCAAAATTTAAAACAATTACATTTTAGGGAGCTACTCCCACTATCAGGCAATTTTTTCTTTGGCCTAGGGCGATTCGTTAAGCTCTCCTTTGTACCCTCTCAATTTCATGGATGTCTTTAGCTAGATGTGGTGACCACACCGGGCTAGCGTATTCAAGGATCGGAGGGACTTATACAAAATTAAAAAAATGTTTTTATTTTTACTCCTTACTGTGTGTTTAAGCAAGCCAAGAACCTATGTTTGCTTCATGAACTGTTTCATTGACATGTTTTGTCCAGCTCAGGTCATTCGCCATGATAACTCCAAGATCTTTATAATTGAATACATTTCTTAACTCAGTACCCGAGACTTGGTACCGTGTGGTACTTTTGTCTTTATTATGAGTGATTCTCATGACCTCACATTTGCTAGGATTAAATTTTACCTGCCAGCGATCCGCCCATAGATCAAGGGCGGTTAGATCAGATTTTAAAGCAATAGAATCTTCCATTTTGTTTATCTGTCTATAGATTTTGGTATCGTCAGCAAATAACTTGGTGGTAGGTGTAATAATGTTAGGTATGTCGTTCACGTAAATAGGGAACATAATCGGACACAGGATTGAGCCTTGAGGGACGCCAGATATAACGGGCGACCACTCGGAATACGATCCACGTATCTGTACTCTTTGTCTTGTGTTGGTTAAAAAATATCCTGAACCACAGGTAGAGTTGCCCGTCTATACCGTTCCTATTGAGCTTTAAAGACTCTTTAAAAGCAGGCCCATTTAACAAAATTGTTGTTCCCAGTACTTTTCCCTTGTATCCTGGTTACAAGAACAATAACCAAACGCGCGGTGGCTTGGGTCGGGTCTATGCAACCAGAATGTACCGATCCATTTGGCTCGTAAATTTCCGAAATTTCAAATACGAATTTTTGTTGAATGGAAAGTGCCCTTGGTTTTCTGGGCGCCATTTTCGCGGAAGAAAGCTCCCTTGCAAGAGCCAAACATGTACGGTGAACAGTCGAGTTTGGAGGTAAACGTCTCCGTATAAAAAGATTACGATAGCAACGCGATAGATACTGGCCTCTTGTTGGGCACAAAATTATTGTTTTGTGTCAAATCACAGAGAAGCCTTCGAATAAGTCGTGGAACTGGTTCGTTAAGAGTAGCATTCCAGCGGCTCTCTCGCCTGTTCTTGAAAACTTTCGAGGATGCTTCTACCAGAAAAAATAATCTGTACAAGTGCCCACGAACATATTTCACATAATTCATGTTGAGTTGTTTGTGCATTTTTCTAATGTAGCTGTTGTTCACATGGGCTTTCATAGCAAAGAAAGACAACCTGAACGACAGAACAAATCTTCATGTTAAAGTAAGCGCAGGCGCCTAATACCTACTAAAATGTTCGTTTGAGGTATGGAACGGTCTCTTAAAAACATCGGTCGTAAGAAGGCAGTCAATCGTTTGTGATTTGTTCACAATATGATCTCGATAATTAAAAAAAAAGTTATTCCAGACACAAACCAAATAAAGCTTCTGGCGCATCCCTAAATTATTAAATCCTTCCGTTCCGCATTTAATTTTGATCTAATTTTTTCTCACGTTAACTAGATTCTTTCTTGAAAGTGGTATAATTCTAATTGTCCTCGATACTTACGGTCCGTCCATTTATGTTGCTTGCAGTCTGTCCCAATATGGCAACCCTGAATGAGGCATCAGGAGTTCTTACAAGTCCTTACTATCCAAGGCGTTACCCTTCTAAGGAGAAATGCAGCTGGAAAATTACAGCAAGTAAAGGAGAACGCATTGTGTTGGTCATTGAAGACCTTTATATTCGGTCCTGTGGTTCATCTTGCACGTGTGATTACCTTGAAATACAAAATGGCTCTTCCTCTGATGGCATTTCAGGCAGGCGAAGATGTAGATACTATGAAGATCGTGGGATAGTATACCATTCAGCAAAAGATATCCTGAGGTTGACGTTTGTTTCTGATAGTGGTACTGACCGGTACTACCGTGGATTTAAGGCAACTTACATTAAAGTGAAATATACTGCACCAACCACCGGTAAGTTATTTAGAAATCGGCTTTAAACTATAAGTTAAAGGTTTAACTACAGGCGATCAACTTTCAACCAAGTTATATGAAATATCATTGCCTTACAACAGGCTTATAGTAACTGTAATATTCAAATTCTTTATGGAGTAAAACAACCCACAATAAAACGCCGATTAAATGCCGACAATTTTCATTCGCATGGTGTTAAAAGTGTTTGGTAGAAAATCTCCTATTTTTTTTTTTATAATCATCTATTGCAAAGCTTTCGATTTGGTTTTTTGTTTTGCTTTGTCTTTTTTTTGTTTCAGACAGATTACTCATTTATTTTGTGTTATAAAGCTAAAGCATAGTTTATTTCCTCTTGCTGCAGCTTGTACCTCTGGCGAATACCTTAATGGATTTAGTGGATTCTTTTCAAGTCCAAATTTTCCAAATAACTATCCTCAATACAGCATGTGTACCTGGAATATCACAGTTCCCAGCGGGTACATAATTAAACTCAGCTTCCTCTACTTTCGATTGGAGCCACATCAGTACAGTCGCTGCTATTATAATGCTCCAGGATCCCGTGTTACAGTCACAAATGTTACTTCAGATGATGGGTATCAACCGTTCATGCTGTGCGGTCAACAACTTCCAGATCCAGTGTACTCAGTGGGGAATTCAATGCAAGTCATATTCACGTCTCTGAGCAGTCAATACTCAGGGTTTAATGCAACTTACACGGCTATCACTTATAGTTCAGGTACGTGGTATACATTATCAAAACAAAAACAATTACTTTTTATGAAGTTAGATCGATCTCACACTATCAGATAATGTCGGTAATTAAAAGGCGATCAAAAGAATCGACTCCGAAATCATTGACGTATTACTGCTTGAAAATGTAAAAGAGCAAAAGAGGAACACGATTAGATCGGTAAAACTCAACAAGATATTACATTCAGGTATATTTAAAGAACACGTGTATTTCAAGTTTGTCGTCTTTACACTGTACGCAAGTCTGATGCTCTCGAGAATCATCAGTTGCTACGTGGAGATGACAATTTTGTCCGCCCAAGAGGTGTCTTTTAAGGCTAAGAGTCAACAAAGAAAGATCAAATTATCGAAAATACCGTAGCTTAAAGCCTTAAAATAACTAAGATATACGGGATAACATAAACTTGCGCTGGATAAGTATTGTAGTACTATTTAAGATACGGATTTTTCTTGGTGGTGCAGCGGAGTATGGTTAGAATGGTATGATTAGAACGCCAACAATGAGATTTCTCAAAATTGATTTTGAATTTGCATATTTTGTTTTTTTTTCTTATTCATTTGGAACCAATCGATAAATATGTTCATACACCACCGTAGCTCCCTCGAAAACTATACCCGATTCCAGACCAAAATGGGCAAAGTCTATAACCGTTTTTAGACAAAAACGGCGCAAAATCCATACCAATTTCTTTCTACAACTGAGATAATCTGTATCTAGAATGATCTGAATCATCACACGCCGTTTCCCCATTTTCCCTCAGTTCTTCTATCTGTCTCGCTAACCTTGCTTTATAAAGTGAAGATCCTCTCTGGGTCAGGGTCATATATTTTTAGATTTTTATTGCTTGTAGGTTCTTAACCCTGAGAAGAAAATTTCGCATGAAAACATATGTCTAAACTTCTATGTAATCTTGTAGTTGAGAATAAACAGCATAAACAGCTGATCGATCGCGCAAAATCTGATGTTGTACACCTACCTTTCCAACAGTTCCTTCTTATTACCATTTCGATTTATACGGCGGCATTTTAACCAAAACCAAAACTTTAGTGGAGCAACCGTCAATTTTTCTGTATCTCTTCTTCACTGAAGCCAGCAAGAGGAATGTTCCCTCAATTAAGTCCGCCATGTTAGTTAGAGCGACTTTCGTATGACCTTGAAAAATGTTTTTGGTAAGTGTTCGTGATTTGTTTCATCAGCCAATGGCTGAAAAGATCAAAACAAGGACTCTTCGTTTTCCCGCCAAAGAAAACCCTAATATGGAGAAGGCACTGTTCGATTGGCCAATCGTGTTGCAGTATGACGTCAAAGCGAAGCATCGGCTGATTTCTAGAAAGTTCTCGGGCATGCAATCGATCAGTGGAGGTGGTAGTGGAGTTAGCTGTTGCATTCAGGGACTTTGGTCTCTTCTTGTGAAAATTTGGTTTTCTTACAAATTCTGGTGATTAAACAACAATGGAAGCAGTTATGTGTGGCTCATCTTTACACCAAAAGTGCTGAACGAAGATGGAGAGCCCGATTCCGTTACCGATGTGGTGACGCCGCTTACTACGCTGGCGAGTTTATTCGTGAATAGTGTCCTTCTTGTCCTCGAAAACGAGTAAGAATTTTAGTTTCCTTTTTTGTCGTGTCATGTGGGACGTTAGACTATGTATCCCTTTTAGTCGATTGTGAGATGAATTAGAAGTCAAGAAAATTTTAAACGCTTTCCACTTGAAGCGCCTTTGACCAGACTTTGATCACGTGACTTTGTTGATGGTGACGTTTTTGGGCTCTCCATCTGACAATATTTTTTCTCGTGTCCTTTAATTGAAAAACCCGAAAATTTCATTATGTCAGACGCGTCAAATGTTAAACGATTTTGCCGAAGGTGCAAAGCACATGGTTTTAAAGCTGGAATACATTCAGCATGCCCTTTTAAATGTTGCAAGTGCGCGGAGTGTGAGAAGATTGCAAAACACAACGAAATGGCGCGAGAGCGAGCTCGAAAAAGACGTGCCGACGAGCTGGCCGGACCATTGCTACCCTCAAGCAGCGTTGACCTGACTATTGAGCAAGTCATCCAACTTGCAAACAAGAACTCGGGTACTGAAGTGGCGAAAAAAAAGATGTCCACAACTGCCCTTAAAGCCGGTATGTTGTCAACCTCGTGATCTTTTGATCCAATTTTTTGTTAATTTACCTTTCCAACTATTTTAGTTACTCTTAAGGTATCTTATTGCCTTTGAAAGTACCGTTTGTATTTGAAGTAAACCTTTTTAAAAATCTTGGACAGGAAAATTTGTTGTTACAGTAATTTGTTGCACTTTGGCTTGTACATGAAATTCTCGTGAATGACACACAAATTATTTGACAGATTTCCCGATGTTGCCTAAAATACATTCTCAGAATAGCTTTTACAGTGCAGTTTTGCGATTTCATTAATGTTAAAATTTCACATTTTTATTAGTAATGCTTCTCTAACAATTTTGTTATCAAGTCAGGGCACTGAATGAGAGAAAGGATCAAATTTCAGTAGTTTTCTTTGACATCTGGGACGTCACTATTTTCATTGCTTGTGTACTTATCAGCGGCCATCGTGTAAAGCCATGACAAATTTTTCCCACTTATCTGGCTTCTCATCAACACTTACTAATAAAGTGTGATATGGTATTGTTAAAAATTAAATTTGCTTAAAAAGTAATACAGTAAAACCAACAACTAGAGACGGTCTAAGAACCTGGATTTTTCTAAGTTAGCCTAAACAGGATCCCATATAAATGGTAGTTAGTTTAAGGTTTTAAATTAGTCCTCGCCTTTCATGACTGGGGTGATTTTCACACGCGCTTGCGTTTCGCTCGCTCTACTATCTCTGAGAAAAAAATAGGGATTACTCATAGTCTCTTCTTATATAGGTTCTTTCTGAAAAAAAAAGATGCAATATAGCTAAGAGTATTCAGTGGTTCAGCTTTTTCCTTACATAAAAGCTGCAAACCATAACATTGCAGTTGGAGTGTTAAGGCACCCGTGTCTCCCCACAAACACCATTTGTGGGTGCGATGAAGTATAAGTTCCCCAAAAAATCCTGCATGGGGAGCTAAGAAAATAAGAGCCTGATTCACATTTTAGGCTGAACAGGTTCCTGTATACAGGGTGCTTAACTGGCAAAATTTGAGCCTAACAGGTTCTTAGTCTCAGGGTCTTACTGTTATTATTCTTATGGGTTATGCATTGTTCATTTCTACGTGTAAACCATCCCCTTCCCCTGGGAATTTGTAAGTTTTATTACTTGGCAGTCTATTCCCCACCTCAAGGCATACAGAAAAAGACAATTTCTCACCCCTGCACTCCTCATTAACCACACATAACATTGTTTTGGGTACAGGATAAATGTTTCTAAGGTTTTCTATTTCATAAAAACACTAGACTGAGATCTCTGTTTTGCAAGCCGGGCATCCATATTTATATACAGTCTATTTAAGTTGTCTTGTTATATAGATAAATTCACTTAAGAAATATTTCTTTGTTGGTGACGAAAGCCATCCATCCAAGTATGCGTCATATGCACATTGGTTCTACAATAAAAATTTCGTGGTTCAAACAATCTTGAAAAGGTCTTGAATTTTAGTAGTCGTCTTGAAAAGTCCTTGAATGTGGTTTAGGTCCTTGAAAAGAAATAGATTTCTTTAGTAGGTCTTAAAAGTCCTTGAAATTCACAACTTTGTCTACGCATACACCATTTTCTGTAGAGTTAGATTTTATTTTGCCGAGGAAAATTTGGCTCATCTTCATAGGCAGAAAGAACCTGTAAAATTCACGGCCAACGTACAAACATTTTTAGTAAAAGGACAATGTTTTATTTATTATCAATATTATTTTAAATGACTCCATGACGTGTTTTAGCCAATAGGGTGATCAAAGGGGGTTAAAGACCTTGAAAACTGTAAGTTGTCCTTGAAAAATCCTTGAAAAGTCCTTGAAGTTTGTGTGTCTGAAGTTGTAAGAACCATGAAGATATAAGCATACCTTTCAGAATACAGATTTTACTTTTGAGTGGTTATTTGTTTCTAACCAGACTGCAACAAATTCTTGAGATTTCCCCAGGAAAGAACAGTCTTAGGAGTCTTCTCCGTGCAGTCTGGCACCATCATGTCAACTCAGAAATGACATAATTCACAAGAACAACAAAAATGTGATTTTTGATTTCCCTGCCCCCTATCCCCGGGACAGGACCGCTTCAAACAATTCCCCCCTCAGGCCTGAAGGGCTGGACTTGTCTTAGGGGTTGACAGGAGGGATGTTGACACATTGAATTGAACCATGCAATACCCTCTCAGAAATCCAACGAAAAAAAGAACACATGACAGGTAAATTGAACTGATGTGACTTGGTCCAAATTTAACAATACATTAAATTTATTGTGTATATATGTATATACTGTTGTTTAGAGAAACAGAAAAGCAGAAGACTTGAGATGTCGAAATATGATCTGTTTGTTAACAACTTTATGAGCTCTTTGAGTGAAGCAGACAAGTTGAAGAGCCCACTTTCCAACATGGCACGTGCCACCAAGGCCTGGATGGAAGAAAGGCAACATACCATAAGCGGTCGTGTAAAGAACACAAGTGCAAGGCAAGGAGATGAATTAAACGCCCTGGGGCTAACTGAGTACAGTGATGTGGAGCACGTGAACCTGGGACTTCCATCCTCACTTGGTTCAGAACTTCAGAATACTGGTTCAGGACTTCCATCAGCTCATGGCTCTGGTGATGAGAGTGCTGCTCTTTTGGTTGACATTTCCCCCCAGCTGTCACCTCCACATTTGGAAATGCACTTGACAAGTGCAAATGAGGAGGTAGAGAATGCTGCTCTTTTGGCCAACATTTTCCCCCAGCTGTCACCTCCACATTTGAAAAAGCACTTGACAAGTGCAAATGGGGAGGTAGAGAAAGCAATTGATGCCATTCTCCTGGAAAGTCCCTCTCAAAATATGGTAAACAACAGCAACTTAAATGTCCTCGTGCAAATGTTCCCGCAGTTTAAACAAGAGGGCATTGCTAAAGCTTTGCAGTCGTGTGATAATAAGCTGTATGATACTGTGGATCTACTTTTGAAATTATTACCTGTCAGTGAGGAGAGCAAGAGAAGGGATTCCCCGGTAATATCTTTTTCCCAGACTGTTACTAGAGCAGTCAGTAACATTCCTGATACTGATCTAAATCCTTTTGCTGTGGCCTTGAGCAGCACATCCACTGCCTCGGGTTCAAGGAAAGCTGCATTCTGTAAGCGCTGTGGCCACCATTTATCAGGGAGTGTCATGGGAGGTCTCTGCCCAAACCCTGCATGTGGCCAACCATTTAAACCAAAGTTGAGGATGTAAGACAAACAACCAAGGAAAAGAATAGAGGCATGTGTTTTTTTATGCATCCAGTAAGTGAGTTAAGTTATATAGGCAATGTTGCAAAGCAACATTTACAAAATCTTATGACATCAGTATGAAACAGGCCTTTTGCAACAAAAATGATGGTCACCTGATTGTTCTCTTATCTGTGAAAATGAATTCAAAACAAATACTTTTTGGAAAACTATTTTTAACAGAAGTTGATTTAAAGCATTTTATGATTAGCGAACATATAAATTGTCAGACCTGTATCTCAAAAGTAGCAATTGCTGTAGTCTTGAAAATTAGAAGGATCTTCATGTGGGAAGAACTCTTGCTATTCAACCATCATTATTTTAGGGGTCTTCAAAAAAAAATTATATTTCTCAAAGTAATACAGGCTAGACCTTGTGACTCGATACATGACCTTGTAATTCATTACAGGTTAAGACCTTCACAATATCTCAGCATCGTACAGCATTGGTCTGGAAATGGGTGTCCTTGCTAATATTCGAACATACTCTTTCCATTTTTGAAAGTTAGATTACTCTAGCTTCAAGGCTCTACTAAGGGAAATCAGTCATGTGATCAACAAAGGGCCTATAGTCTCAGCAACTTGACACAAAGTCATAAAAAAATATTTTGTTCCTTTGAACTCTGTTTAGGAGTACCAAATTGTTCTTGGTGTGAGACCAATACAGGCTGCAGACTGGTGAGCAAACGATGTTGTGAAATGGTCTTAAAACATGTCAAAACTACTAGTATTTTGAGACTTTAAAAGAGACAGTAAACTGTGTAGAGATAGGGATAAATCTGAGACATTTCACAGCATTGTTGTCTTGTCTACCTGCAATTGCTGCCCATCAGTGTCATGAAACTATTTGACAATGTTTTAAAACGATGCATAAATCATGGCACAGTGTGCCAATGCCTTCAGGTCTAAGGGTTATCATGACATATACAAATATGGCCAATGTGGTAAATTTGTAACAAAACTGTAATCTACAAATTCTTTTCAAAAAGGACTAAAAATACAGTTATAAGGGTCATTGTATGTTCAATTCTTGCCAATGGCATACATGCCCAAAACCCATCTGAGTGTCCTCAATGATGCCTGTTGTGCAAGCTATTCCAATATTTGGCACTGTATCTCTGTTGTTTGTAACCTTGATGATTGTCTTACATCTTCAAAGTCAACTTTGAGGCTACCAAGGTTTGGATTGTATTCACAATAAGAAAGCCACTGATCGGTAATAAAGCAAGGCATTTTATTGAATTTATGACCAAAAATTAAAACAATAATTATGCCACTTGTTGCACTGAAAACTTCATCATAAGTATTATTACACTCTTTTGAGGCAACACTTTCTGTAAACTTGACTTCATTAGGGCGATTTTTATATGACTTTAAATGATTATGTGAAGCAAAACAGAAACAACAAACAAATGCCAGTGGAGCAATTTGATTGGTGTATCAAAAAAGTACAAAGTTAACATACATGGCTTTTGGTATGCAAATGCATGATGAGAAACATTGTTGAAAGTAATTTTCCACAACTTCAGGCAACAAAAGCTTACAAAAAGTGTTGAACCTGGTCAGATGTTAGGATGCCAGACTGGAGGGTAAAATATGATTCAGAAGAAATTTATAAGTTTGAGCCAACAATTGCGGCAACATTGGCTGCATTAAAATTCATATTGGAAGTAACATATTATTATTAACATTTTTTTATTTACTAATTACTAACTGAAGGGGTCATTACATGGATATTCACTGGTACTTTAAAAAGGCTTAATACACATTTGTGTCAATAGCATTCGCAGTGCTGTCAACTCTCCTGGAAAATTCTGGAGAAATCTCCCTTTCTCCAGATTAGAGAATGAAATCTCCCGGGTAATCATTGAAGTATGTAGCCTCGACTTTCCAACAATACAATTTCAACTATTTTGCATATTGTTTGAGCTATTTTAATGTCAACATAGAACATTTCCTCATGACCTCCAGTATGCTATTGTTAATAATCTGATTGGTTTTTGTGAGTTTTGTGTCATCACAAATTTGGTGACAATTGGAGTCAACGAGTAGTTTTTGCCCAAATGATGTCATTTGGGGGGTTGACAGCCCAGCATTCAAGCACTGAAACTATCACAAGTGCTCTTGGCTTAATGAATGGCCAGGATGGTTTGACGCTTTAAAAAAATAACAATAATACTTTACTTATATAGCGCCTTTTCCAGCTATGTCTAATAGCACTTTACAATTTATTACAAAAATTACAAAAAATAATAACAAAATTACAAATATTGTCCAAAAATTTATTTATTCAAAAAATTAAATTCAATGAAACGAACAGGATGCAATTTTGTCAAGTTCCTCCTGTTTCTTTTAGAAAGATTTGCTGTTCATTCAAAAGTTTACCTGATATTATCTTTCAAGCATAACAATAACACAATTTTGCCCAAGAAGATTATAATACCCATGTCATAGCGCACAATTCACAAACTTTCAAGTGACATTTGCTAGTTACAAGTTATATTATTGTGAAAGTGCCAAATGATAGACTAAAACAAAATTGTAATAATTGTCACTTATAATTGGCATCATATTGTGTAAATATTTACAACTTTGTACAAATTATGTATCATATGCTTCTGATTAAATTTATAGAACTTGACCAACAACTGGCTTATAGGTTTGATTTAAAAGAAAGGATTCAGGTTATTTTTCATAACCAGACTTTGTGCAACAAAATTGTACTGGGTAGATCGGTTGAATGTTAGTTTGTTACTGTGCATTCAATAAATTATCGGAGAATCGTTTTAAATGCTTAAGTTTGTTCTTATAGTACCCGACCGGCTAATAATCTTCTTTTCGAGGGGTTGCCGTATTGGTAAATAATAATAATCATAAATACAGCAAGAATGACACCCAAAACATACAAGCTAGTGGTCTCTTCAATCCTGGCCTCGACCTACAGTATATAGTCTTAAACAAATAAGTTAAGCTTAAATACGTACCGTGGTCGACTAGTCAAAAGAACATTTTGACAACACTGAACCCAGAGCTCAAGCAAGTATATGCCGATTAATTTACTTTTCTACACTCAGTCCAGCATCAACACTTGCCTCGGTATTAAAGTACTGTAGCCATAGCGTCTATTGAACAAATTCTTACAAAACCACAGTGCGTTCTAGAAATACCTTCTTGAAAGTAAGTATGCGATGTAAAATGAACGATTTTGGTGTAAGATGTGCTGGATCGAATAAGTGGCTACGTATTACGTAAAAACAGTTACTACGGAATGAGGGTGAATAACAAAACTGTTTTGTTAATTAAATGAAATTACACTTAGAATTGCACTTGCCAGCTTCTCCTGTAAAATGACTGTACCACTGGAACTGTTACTCCTGCGAAAGCATTTACAACGCTTGCCATTCCGTAAGCACGAATGGAACCCGGAGTCTTCAGTGCATTGGCTTTCACGATGCTGAAAACGCTTTCAATGGGATTTAAGTCAAAGGAGTAAGTAGGCATTTTGACGAGGGTTATGTTCTTGCGCGCCAAAACATTCTGCACAGCAACGTCGTTGTGTATCGAGGCATTGTCAAGAACCAGAAAACTATCTCTTGGTAAGTAGGGTAAGAAGTGATACTCGATGGCATTTGTTATGGAAACTGCATTGAAGCTACCGGGAACTGGGTAGCAATTAACAATTCCTTCGTTGTAACCTACCACTGCAAAGGCCGATATTTTTTCTCTTACATCTCGTTTTGGCTCTACACTCGGAAGGACGTCACCAATACTGCACCAACCTGAAGTTCGTACATCAGTGAGCTTGTTAAAGGCCGTCTCGTCTCCGAAAAACAGTTTTGTTGGATCTTTTCGGTTCCGCCACTGGATGTAAGCTTGTCTTCTTACCAAGTTGTACGGTGTAAATCGCTCTTGTGGGACTTTAGTTGACTTGTGCTTTGTTAAATTGAGATCATGCAGTGTCCTGCAAATAACCGGTACCGACGGAACTTCGTGTGGTAACAAGTTCAGGTCAGCTCTCAGTCTGCCTTGCATTTCTTCCAAGTACAAAAAAGGGTTCACGAAAATCATAGCCTCCAGATAGGCAACCATAAAAGGTTGCATCTTGCTAGCTGGCCTCCCTCTTGCTCCAGCTTGACAATCACCGGTCGCAATAAACTTTTCACAAATTGCCCGTGCGGTGTTGTAACAAACGCGGTTTTCTCGTGCACTGACCGCAAAACTTCCACTTGTTGAATAATCTGCCAAAATCTGATACCTTTTTTGGATAGGGTACGCAGCACCAAATTTGTAAATTCCTTCTGAAGCATTTACCCTCCAGTCTGGCATCCTAACAGCTGCCCAGTTTCAACACTTTTCCAAGCTTTTGTTGCCCGAAGTTTTGGAAAATTACTTTCAGAATTGCAGTTTACACGAGCGTTCGCTTAACCAATCAAAAGCCAGGCGCGTTTGTCTGTCCGTTCGATAAACCAATCAAATCGCTCTATTTCCGTTCGTTTGTTGTTTCTGTTTTGTTCGCGCGTTTTCATTTCAAGGTCATACGAAAATCGCTCTATTTAGGTACCTTTCGCTCCGATGACGCGATGACAACGAGGACGTCGTCAAAAAAGCAATAGGTTTACAAGGCAAAACAACAACTTTGTGCGTGCATCACATTTTTTTTCTACATTTCTTTTTATTGGGGACGTAAACAAGCGACGACCAAAATTTATTTCTCTTTCGGAACTTGGAAAGGGATCCTAGCAATTCAACTCCAGGGGATTCGCTTACTTTTGATAAAGAAAATGGGTAGGAATAATCGCAATAAAGGCTGAAAGAACATAAATTCACTTTTTAAGTGACGTTTTTGCTGCCATCGCCTCGTCGGATCGTAAAGTCCCTATTTTAAATTTAAAGATCTCACATCTATGCAACTTCCGGTTTTTTTTTTTTCTGAAATCCGAGTATTAACGAATTTCTTTGAGGCGCTTTCCATTCAACCCAAAATTTTGAAATTTTCGGTTGGTACATCAAATGGAACGGGCCGGTTTGATTTGGTCTGACCGGAACATTCGGGACCAGCTTTGAAGGTGGTCCTCTTTCACCGGTCTGGTTATTTCGGTCGGTAGGACCGAAATGTCCCTTTCCATTTGACAAAAAAAAAATGAGGAGGAGGAGGAGGGAGGAGGAGGAGGAGGATTGAGGAACGAAAATAATAAAATTGTGGAGGAGGAGGAAAGTAAAAAAAAATGAAAAGGAAAGGGGTGAGTAAAACATTGTTTGCAGTGTAAAAAAGAGCTAGTTGGCCTTTGCCCTCATTAATATGCACGATTTACCTGCCAAAAATCAGTGAACCGGAACCAGGACAATCGCAGCAGCAGGAAATAGAACTTGCATAATTACGTTACGTCTCAGTGATTTTAAGTCAGAGACAAGTTTGACTTTACTCCTCAGGTACTATGAATTAACCAATGAAAACTTTTCTTATTTTCTAACTAACCAATAGAAAACGAAGACGTTTATCGACCTTAAAGTAACTAGAAAACCTAAACCAACTTAAAATAGCACACGACCTTATCTTAATGAGATTCCTGCGCATTTTATTCATGAGATCAAGACAATAGCCTATGACGTCAGCGACGTTAGTTTATTCCCCCCCACCTTAATGAGATTCCCCCCCAAAAAACCGGAGTAACCGGTCCCTCCTATACTACTATAGTATAGATACAATATATACTACTGTACTACTATAGTAGTATAGGAGGGATGTTTTAGGCCTCTTTTTTGGGGAGGATTCTCATTAAGGTGGGGAGGAATACATTAACGCCGATGACGTCATAGGCTATTGTCTTCATCTCATGAATAAAATGCGGTGGATTTAATTAAGTATACTGGTTTGACCGGTTTGTCAGGTTCTATTTTTAGCCTGGTTGATATAACTTAGGATTTTTAGTTACTTTAAGGTCGATAAACGTCTTCGTTTTCGATTGGTTAGTTAGAAAATAAGAAACGTTTTTATTGGTTAATTCATACTGTCTGAGGAGTAAAGTCAAACTTGTCTGTGACTTAAAATGACTGAGACGTAACGTAATTATGCACTTCCAATTTCCTGCTGCTGTGATTGTCCTTGTTCCGGTTCACTGATTTTTGGCGGGCAAATCGTGTATATTAAAGAGGGCAAAGGCAAACTAGCTCTTTTTTGCACTGCAAGCAATGCTTTACCTACCCCTCTCCTTTTTATTTTTTATTTCCCTCCACCACCACCACCACCACCGCCGCCGCCACATTTCTGTTGTTTTCCCTCCACCACCACCACCACCACCACCACCACGGCCACCACATTTCTATTGTTTTTCCTCCACCACCACCACCACCACCGCCACCACATTTGTATTGTTTTCCCTCCACCACCACCACCACCACCGCCACCACATTTGTATTGTTTTCCCTCCACCACCACCACCATCACCACCACGGCCACCACATTTCTATTGTTTTTCCTCCACCACCACCACCACCACCGCCACCACATTTCTATTGTTTTTCCTCGAAAGGCCAAAGAGGCCAAAATCAGGCCTAAAAGGCCTAGAAGACCAAACTTGGAGGAAAAACAATAGAAAAGAGGAGGAGAGGGAGGAGGAGGAGGAGGGAAAAGAATAAAAATGTTACGGTGGTGGTGGTGGAGGGGAAACAATAGAAATGTGGCGGTGGTGGTGGAGAGAAAGAAAAAAAAATGTGGAGGAGGAGGAGGGAAAACAATGACGATTCTACATCGACCCTACATCGACCCTACATCGACCCCACATCGACCCTACATCGACCCTACATCGACCCCACATCGACCCCACATCGACCCTACATCGACCCTACATCGACCCCACATCGACCCTACATCGACCCTACATCGACCCCACATCGACCCCATATGGACCCTACATAGACCCTACATCGACCCCACATCGATCCTATCAAAACAATAAAAATGAGGAGGAGGAGGAGGGAAAACGATAAAAATGAGGAGGAGGAGGAGGAGGAGGGTGGTGGTGGTGGTGGAGGGAAAACAATAGAAATGTGGCGGTGGTGGTGGTGGTGGTGGAGGGAAAACAACAGAGATGCGGTGGCCGTAGCGGTGGTGATGGTGGAGGGAAAACAATAGAAATGTGGTGGCGGTGGTGGTGGTAGTGGTGGAGGGAAATAAGAAATAAAAAGGAGAGGGGTAGGTAAAGCATTGCTTGCAGTGCAAAAAAGAGCTAGTTTGCCTTTGCCCTCTTTAATATACACGATTTGCCCGTCAAAAATCAGTGAACCGGAACAAGGACAATCACAGCAGCAGGAAATTGGAAGTGCATAATTACGTTACGTCTCAGTCATTTTAAGTCACAGACAAGTTTGACGTTTATCGACCTTAAAGTAACTAAAAATCCTAAGTTATATCAACCAGGCTAAAAATAGAACCTGACAAACCGGTCAAACCAGTATACTTAATTAAATCCACCGCATTTTATTCATGAGATGAAGACAATAGCCTATGACGTCATCGGCGTTAATGTATTCCTCCCCACCTTAATGAGAATCCTCCCCAAAAAAGAGGCCTAAAACATCCCTCCTATACTACTTCGGGTCTATGCAACCAGAATGTACCGATCCATTTAGCTCGTAAATTTCCGGTATTTCAAGTCGGAATTTTTGTTGAATGGAAAGCGCCCTTGGTTTTTTGGGCTCCATTTTCGCGGAAGAAAGCTCCCTTGCAAGAGCCAAACATGTACGGTGAACAGTCGAGTTTGGAGGTAAACGTCTTCGTATAAGAAGATTACGACAGCAACGGAATAGATGCTGGCCTCTTGTTGGGCACAAAATTATTGTTTTGTGTCAAATCACAGAGAAGCCTTCGAATAAGTCGTGGAACTGGTTCGTTAAGAGTAGCATTCCAGAGGCTCTCTCGCCCGTTCTTGAAAACTTTTGCCGCCGTTTTTCTTGACTCAACTGACCGACACTGGGTCTCCGAGGATGCTTCTACCAAAGTAATGAAAATAATCTTTACAAGTGCCCACGAACATATTTCTCATAGTTCATGTTGAGTTGTTTGTGAATTTTCCTAATGTAGCTGTTGTTCACATGGGCTTTCATAGCAAAGAAAGACAACCTGAACGACAGAACAAATCTTCATGTTAAAGTAAGCGCAGGCGCCTAATACCTACTAAAATGTTCGTTTGAGTTATGGAACGGACTCTTAAAAACATCGGTCGTAAGAAGGCAGTCAATCGTTTGTGATTTGTTCACAATATAATCTCAATAATTTAAGAAAAAGGTTATTCCAGACACAAACCAGAAACAGCTTGTGGCCCATTCCTAAATTATTAAATCCGTTCGTCCTGCATTTGGTTTTGATCTAATTTCTTCGCACGTTAACTAGATTCTTTCTTGAAAGTGGTATAATTTTAATTGTCCTCGATACTTACGCTCAGTCCATTTATATGGCTTGTAGTCTGTCCCAATATGGCAACCCTAAATGAGACATCAGGAGTTCTTACCAGTCCTTATTATCCAAGGCGTTACCCTCCTAACGAGAAATGCAGCTGGAAAATTACAGCAAGTGAAGGAGAACGCATTGTGTTGGTCATTGAAGACCTTAATATTCGGTCCTGTGGTTCATCTTGCACGTGTGATTACCTTGAAATACAAAATGGCTCTTCCTCTGATGGTATTTCAGGCAGGCGAAGATGTAGATACTATGAAGACCGTGGGATAGTATACCATTCAGCAAAAGATGTCCTAAGGTTGACGTTTGTTTCTGATAGTGGTACTTACTGGTACTACCGGGGATTTAAGGCAACTTACATTAAAGTGAAATATGTTGCACCAACAACCGGTAAGTTATTTAGAAATCAGCTTTAAACTGTAAGTTAAAGGTTTAAGTGCAGGGGATTAACTTTCAACCAAGTTATATGAAATATTATTGCCTTATATAGTAACTGTAATATTCAAATACTTTACGGAGTAAAACAACCCACACTAAAATGCCGATCAAATGCCAACAATTTTCTTTCGCATGGTGTTAAAAGTGTTTGGTGGAAAATCTGCTATTTTTTTTTGCTAACTATCTATTGCAAAGCTTTCGATTTGGTTTTTTGTTTTGCCTTGTCTTTTTTTGTTTCAGACAGATTACTCTTTGATTTTGTATTATAAAGCTAAGTCCTTGCTTTTTTCCTCTTGTTACAGCTTGTACCTCTGGCGAATACCTTAATGGATTTAGTGGATTCTTTTCAAGTCCAAATTTTCCAAATAACTATCCTCAATACAGCATGTGTACCTGGAATATCACAGTTCCCAGCGGGTACATAATTAAACTCAGCTTCCTCTACTTTCGATTGGAGCCACATCAGTACAGTCGCTGCTATTATAATGCTCCAGGATCCCGTGTTACAGTCACAAATGTTACTTCAGATGATGGGTATCAACCGTTCATGCTGTGCGGTCAACAACTTCCAGATCCAGTGTACTCAGTGGGGAATTCAATGCAAGTCATATTCACGTCTCTGAGCAGTCAATACTCAGGGTTTAATGCAACTTACACGGCTATCACTTATAGTTCAGGTACGTGGTATACATTATCAAAACAAAAACAATTACTTTTTATGAAGTTAGATCGATTTCACACTATCAGATAATGTCGGTACTTAAAAGGCGACCAAAAGAATCGACTCCGAAATTATTGACGTATTACTGCTTGACAATGTAAAAGAGCAAAAGAGGAACACGATTGGATCGGTAAAACTGAACAAGATATTACATTCAGGTATATTTAAAGAACGCCTGTATTTCAAGTTTGTCGTCTTTACACTGTACGTAAGTCTGATGCTCTCGAGAATCATCAGTTGCTACGTGGAGATGACAATTTTGTCCGCCTAAGAGGTCTCTTCAGAGTCAACATAGAAAGATCAAATTATCGAAAATAACGTGGCTTAAAGCCTTAAAATAACCAATTTCTTTCTACAACAAGATAATCTGTATCTAGAATGATTTGAATCATCTCACGCCGTTTCCCCATTTTCCCTCAGTTCTTCAATCTGTCTCGCTAACTTTGCTTTATTTAGTGAAGAGCCTCTCTGGGTACACCTACCTTTCCAACAGTTCCTTCTTATTACCATTTTGATTTATACGGCGGCATTTCAGCCAAAACTTTAGTTGAGCAACGGTCAATTTTTCTATATCTCTTCTTCACTGAAGCCAGCACGAGGAATGTTCCCTCAAGTAAGTCTGCCATGTTAGTTATTAGGTACCTTACGCTCCGATGACGCGATGACAACGAGGACGTCGCCGTCAAAAAAGCAATAGGTTTACAAGGCAAAACAACAACTTTGCACGTGCAGCACACTTTTTCCTTTATTTCTTTTATTGAGGATTTAAACAAGCGAGGACCAAAATTTATTTTTATTTCTGAACTTGGAAAGGGATCCTTGCAATTCAACGCCAGGGGTTTCACTTGCTTTTGAAAAAGAAAATGGGTAGGGATAATCGCAATAAAGGCTGAAAGAATATAAGTTCACATTTTTTAAAAGTGACGTTTTTGCTGCCATCGCCTCATCGGATCGTTAAGTCCCTATTTTAAATTTAAAAGTCTCACATCCATCTAACTTCTGGGTTTTCTTTTCTGAAATCCGAGTATTAAAGAATTTTTTTGAGGCGCTTTCCATTCAGACCAAAATTTTGAAATTTTCGGTTGGTACATCAAATGGAACATACCCTTTTGATTTGGTCTGAGCGGAACATTCGGGAACAGCTTTGAAGGAACTCCGCTTCAAAACGCACTGCGCATGAGCACAAAATTTAACATCCGGTCAGCTTTTTATTTCCGGTGTAGTATATAAACCAAATGCGTAAGCATAACTTTGCCGTCGCGCCGAGTTTGAAAGCAAAAAGGGGGCGAAAAAACTCACTTCATTCGATAGCTTATATATTTTTCTTTTGTCAAACTTTTGCACCACATGGTTATCTGGTTGCATCAACGGTGAAAAGGTCAGCGCTCATTAACATCAGTCGAAAGGCCCTCTTATCTTCGGTCGGGTTTCGTAAACGTATGACGTCATGCTCGCCTCGAAGTTTAATATGCTGATTCATCTGCACTTCGATCGTCTATATCCGAGATTTTGTCCCACTTTTTCGATCATTCCTCAATTGATTCCAATCAATTCAAACAAGACGGTGCCACTGCCTCCGTTTAAAGGATGTTTTGATGTTTCAAGCCTCTTCTTCCTCCGCGGGGAAAAGGACCTTTCAGTGGACGTTACGGAATAACATCCTTTGAATGGCCCTAGATCACCAGGCTGTGTATCTAGGTGACAATTATACATCATCACTTTCCTTATTGAACACATAATGTGTACATATACAGTGTAAAAATCGCTACACTTGAGGAGAAGGATCAATATTGTTATTTATTATCCCACTATTATGTCATTTACCATATAAGGTCAAAAGAATGCGCAAAATATGAGGCGGTAATAATAATACTATTTAATAATATTTCTGTCTGATTTGGTTAAAATGACTGGTCACTAGGTTTTCGCCTGGCACCGGGCACAGTGTGCCTTAAAGCCTCTTCGGCTGTAATTGTTCCTTCAACTTCTTTACAGTAAAGGCATGTCATTCTTGCAAAAAAGAAAATGCTCTCTCATTTGATCAAGTAGAGCAGATGCTATTTAATTTCATGAAGCCAAAACAAACATGGAAAACTAATTATACAAAAGTAAGAGTGTTTTTCCTTGTTTGATCATCATTAAACTTCCCTTCAGTTTTCTTGTGCATTATTGGCTGTGTGATTTGACCGGTGAGTCGATTTTTGGTGCACTCTTGATCCTCCTTTCTTCCTCTATATGTTAATTTGTTTTCTTATTTAGCATCAAAGTGTTGACCCAATTACTCCGGAATTATGCTGTTTGTGAAAGGCATCTGTTCAACCAAAGTGCCCCATACAGTGGCAGGAGGGGGCCTGGTCATCCAGACCCTGAGATAAGGGGGGGCGGGCGGTCTCCAAAAAGATTTTCTTCGGCCCTTTGGGCCTCAGTTTGGTCTAAAAATAAGGGGGCCGAACCTCCCGGGCACCTCCCCTAGATCCGCCACTGCCATAGAGAGAGGAGTAATTGCTATAGCTATGATCTATCATCTGGGCAACTATTCTGCAAAGAATTTTAGGTGTGATTTGACCGATCTATATGGATGTTTGTTACCAAGAAAAGATGTCTTTACTTACAATAGTTTGAATTAATCGAGATTTTTAACATAGAAATTAATTGCTGTGAACCCAGATTAGTGTCTGTTAGTAAGAGGTGCATCTAAGCTTATAGGACGTGTCAGTTAACGGAGGTTCTGTACAGTACCTGATGGAAATTGGGATTTTTTCCACTGCTCAAGTTCTGTACAAACTAAATGTCATACGTGTTAATGCTACCAACAGTAGTTTAAGAACATGAGTGATGTTCAGAATACTGAAAGTTTAAAAATATTTCTTTGTCTAACAATGTAAATTATAATAATTATAATCATTACTATTGCATTATTATTGTATCAATTACAGTGAAACCTGTATTAAGCAGGCACCTTCGGGACCTTCCCAAGTGCTGCTTAATAGAGGGTGTCTGCTTAATAAAGTTTTAAAAATTGCACAATGTTTGTTAACGATCAACATTTAACGGTTACTCTGTACTGTGAAAAAGTTGCATGTTGTTAAAAAAGCTATCGTGAGTTCAAGTTCATTACTTTTCATTACCAACTTTAATTTGTTTGTAAATGCAAAAACATTAACTGACTTTAGGACTACTTTTGGGGACTTGCCCCCACCCCCCTTCCCTACCACCACTGCAGCCATGTTTCTCAACCCAAAATTGGTCAAGAGCAAATGTTAAGATTTTATTGAACACCAGCTGTAGCATCCAGGGCGCACGTTTTCTACCCTCCGACGACTCAAGAAGCACGATGAAGCAGGATTGTTTTAGCCTTTGTTTGAACAACTGCCTACTGATGCATACCCGGCAAACTGTCCATTGCGGATTCTATGGACACTGTTAAGATCTCAAAGAGGTTTGCTTGTGCCAACGAACTAAGCAAATGACATTTTGGGAAATTGGAGTAGGGCTATCTATGGTCAACGGACCAAGGCGGATCAAGGGGAGGAGCCTGGGAGGCCTGGGCTTCCCACTTATTTTTAGACCAAACTGAGGCCGCGCCCTAAGGGCCGAAAAAAATTTTTTTGAGACCGGGCCCCCCCCCCCTTATCTCAGGGTCTGGATGACTGGGTGCCCCCCACTTATCTGAAGGTGTGGATCCGCCACTGTATAATAATATAGCTACTATACTCACCTGTGCCTCTAAAGCCTTTGCTTGCGTTGTAGTCCTTGTAGAGGGAAATTGCGAGTATTGCGAGTTTCAAAATCTTCGATTAGCTTTGTGCTTCTTCAGCGGATGAAACAGAATATCGATCATCAGACAACTTAGTGCAAGAATGGCTTTCTGTGGTTTCATACTGGTACACTTAGCTTTCTTTTGCTGTCTTGAGTTTCTTTTTCTACTCGTTTTTTTTTTTGTGTGTGAATGCTTTGTGTAGCTGTGTGTGGTGTGCAGTACCTGACCTTTAATATAATCATTTATTAATAACCTAACTGAGGCTGCCCTATCTTTTTAGCCCTCAATGGTTATTATGGGCAGCCTGTACTCTCTCTATATATTTATCTAATTTTTTTGTATCATGTATATCATGTAGGGTACAGCTGGTTACAAATAAAGTTGTTGTTGTTGGGTCTTGTTGTTGTTGCTGCAAGCATTCATTATTATTCGACAGAGACAGACATTACACACGTGGATGATTTTCTATTTTTTATATTCCCGCCAATATTTGAAAAAGTTGTTAAATGGGGCAGCGGTTCATTTGAGTTTTATTTGCTTGTTCGTGTAATTTCTTCATGAATGCCATTCTATCCGGGGACATTCAAGGGATGTTTCTCAATAACATCCGCTGAAAGGACCTTATTGATGCGCTAGGAGGCTTGATCAAGGCGAAACATTAAAACACCCTTTCCAAACAGATGCAGTGGCATCTTCTTGGTTGAATCAATCGAGAGATGATCGAAAAAGCAAGACAAGACCTCGAAACAAACACCAAATCGTCAGACAAATCAGAGTGGACGATCGAAGCGAAGCTTACATGAGTCACAGGGGGAGCCACGAGGCGAACGTGACGTCATAAGTTTACGAAATCCGACCGAAGATAAGAGGGCCTTTCGACGGATGTTAACGAGTGCTGACCCGGTGAAAATGATGTTTGAAGTTTGTACGTCGCTAGCGCTCGACACGACGAATTTTTTTTTACTGCGTTTCTTGCATGCTTGTGGTTTGGCATAAGTTAATTTCGGGGAGAAGGCGATAACTCAGAAAAGAATAGCAAAACTTAGGAAAGAAACCAAAAAAAGACGTCATTATTATCATTAACACTATAACCAGGAAAAAAAAAGTTTAGTCCGTTCAATCGGAGAAAACAAGAACTCAAAACAAAAGATGGGCGAGATTTATTAACATCCTCGACTTTGATGACCGCCGTCACGAATACCCGGCGCTTTCGGTCTATTGAATGATCTTGGCCGGGAAACTAAACATGCTAAAAAACGTACTTTCAATCAAGGAAATGCTTATTTTATTTCTTATTAATTCTTTTACTTGGTTGTTCTTTGGTTGAAGACTTCATTAATTTCAGATTGTGGGGCTCGGCTGCAGCTTCTGCGAACACGAAACTTCCAGCTGCTAAATAAATGGCATGAAAATTTCGACTTCTAAAAGCCATCAAACCAGCTTTCGCTCTCTGATTCTGAGAATGAAAGAATTAAATAAATAAATAAAGTTGTCAACTTGCTGCCAACCTCAACAGTATAATCAAGCTTAAGGTGTTTCGTGGCAATCTACTCAGAAGAGCTTCATTTAAAAAAAAACGAACTCACTGGTAAATAAAACTATAAAGCGATTGTGTGTTGTCGTTTTTCAAATAAAGTCAATAAAGCTTGAAGCGGTGTTTAAGACATAAAGACTGAGAAATTACATACCTGCCAACTCTCCCGGTTTTCCCGGGAGTCTCCAAGTTTTTCATCAAATCTGCCGATCTCCCGGTTAGAGCACCAAATCTCCCGGATGAAATGAACTTTTGAGCATTTCTGTACTTTAGTTGGAAATTTAGTCCATTTTTTCACAAAATTCGAACTTTTTTTATTCATTGTACAGTTTCTGGGACATTTTTGCACATGTTTAGTCAATGACAAAGATTAGTTCGTCATTACAATGATGAAAGCGCATTTTGATCCCATGTACGTCATGCAAGACGTCATATAATGTCCTAGGGCAATTAGTTGGCGCGGCGGGGGGCGGGCGGTGGGGGTGTTGGTGCTGTTGACATTCCGGGATGGGAGGGTGTAGTGCAAGATAGAGAGTCTCCAGATTTTAAATCTCCGGAGACTGGCAGGTGTGAAATTGAGAAACCGAAAATTATAACTACAATACATAAGTTTGCAATGATAACTTTTTATGTCCTAGTTTCAGCCAGGTTAAGCGAAAAATAGCCGTCAAAAACTTTGTTTTCGTGAAAGAAAATCAGTTTACCTGACGCTCAAATTAGCCATATTACGCAAGTTATTATCACCTTACCTTTTTTGAATCTAATCAACTAATTGTTTCAGTGAACTGTACCTTGTTTATCCATAAAAGCAAATTCAATAACTACAAAATAGTCAAAAACACGAGTAGCATAAAGCAGAACAACTGCACCACAAGCTGTACACAGAATGAAGCCGAGCGCGCGGAAGACTTTGATTGGAAAATGTGACTGAAAAAGTGACCGGAAATTATCAACCTGGCGCATGCGTAGACGTTTTGCCGCGGTGTTCTTTGAAGGTGGTCCTGGAAAACGCCCTTGGATTTGTGGGCTCCATTTTCGCTGAAGAAAGCTCCCTTGCAAGAGCCAAACATGTACGGTGAACAGTCGAGTTTGCGGGTAAACCTCTTCGTAAAAGAAGATTGCGAAAACAAAGCGATAGATGCTGGCCTTTTGTTGGGCACAAAATTACTTTTTTGTGTCAAATAATCCCATACAAACCTTCGAATAAGTCGTGGAACTGGTTCGTTAAGAGTAGCATTCCAGCGGCTCTCTCGCCTGTTCTTGAAAACTTTCGAGGATGCTTCTACCAGAAAAAATAATCTGTACAAGTGCCCACGAACATATTTCACATAATTCATGTTGAGTTGTTTGGGAATTTTCCTAATGTAGCTGTTGTTCACATGGGCTTTCATAGCAAAGAAAGACAACCTAAGCAACAGAACAAATCTTCATGTTAAAGTAAGCGCAGGCGCCTAATACCTACTAAAATGTACATGTTCGTTTGAGTTATCGAACGGACTCTTAAAAACATCGATCGTAAGAAGGCAGTCAATTGTTTGTGACTTGTTCACAATATAATCTCGATAATTAAAGAAAGCTTCTGGCGCATCACTAAATTATTAAATCCTGCCGTTCCGCATTTGGTTTTGATCTAATTCCTTCTCAATTTAAGTAGATCCTTTCTTGAAAGTGGTATAATTCTAATTGTCCTCGATACTTACGGTCGGTCCATTTATATGGCTTGCAGTCTGTCCCAATATGGCAACCCTGAATGAGACATCAGGAGTTCTTACCAGTCCTTACTATCCAATTGCAGCTGGAAAATTACAGCAAGTAAAGGAGAACACATTGTGTTGGTCATTGAAGACCTCAATATTAAGTCCTGTGGTTCATCTTGCACGTGTGACTACCTGGAAATACAAAATGGCTCATCAACTGCTGGCATTTCAGGCAGGCGAAGATGTAGATACTATCAAGACCATGGGATAGTATACCATTCGGCAAAAGATGCCCTGAGGTTGACGTTTGTTTCTGATAGTGATACTTACCGGGGGTACCGTGGATTTAGGGCAATTTACATGAAAGCGAAATATAATGCAACAACCACCGGTAAGTTATTAGAAATCGGCTTTAAACGCAAAGTTAAAGGTTTTTGTGCAGGCGATTAGGTGATCAATCTTCAAGCAAGTTATACAAAATATTATTGCCTTAATTATAACAGGCTTGTAGCAACTGTCAACGACAACATTCAACATTCAAATACGGAGTAAAACACCCCAAACTAAAATACCGATGGAATGCCAACAATTTTCATTCGCATGATGTTAAAAGTGTTTGGTGGAAAATCTCCTATTTTTTTATGCTTATCTATCTTTAGATTGAGTTTTTTGTTGTTGTTGTTTTTGGTTCACGGACAGATTACCCTTTGATTTTGTATTATAAAGCTAGTTTATTTCCTCTTGTTGCAGCTTGTACATCTGGCGAATATCTTAATGGATTAAGTGGATTCTTTTCAACTCCAAATTTTCCGAGTGACTATCCTCAATACAGCATATGTATCTGGAATATCACAGTTCCCAGCGGGTACATCATTAAACTCAGCTTCGTCGACTTTCAATTAGAGCCGCATCAGTACATCCCTTGCTATTATAATGCTCAAAATGTCCGTGTTACAGTCACAAATGTTGCTTCAGATGGCCGTTATCAACCGTTCATGCTGTGCGGTCAGGAACTTCCTTATCCAGTGTACTCAGTGGGCAATTCAATGCAAGTTATATTCACGTCTCTGCGCAGTCAATACTCAGGGTTTAATGCAACTTACACGGCTATCACTTATAGTTCAGGTAGGTGGCATATATTATATATAAGACATCAATGACTGAGTTAAGATCCGAAAAAAAAAACATCATCAACAATAACTCGCCTCATAAATGGTAATCCAAGAAAGTCTTGGATTTGGGATTCCATGCCGTGGATTCTGGATTCTAAGTACTGGATTCCGGATGTCAGTGGAATTAAGGCCCTGTTCAGACCCCGAACTTTCCATGAGCCGAACCTAATACATTGAAGTAAGTACATCAAAAGTTTGGCGTCTGAATTAATTAGTAACACCTGTTTCAATTTGGAACGGCCTAGCCGTTCTTTTCGCCTGGTCCGGCCGGGAATTTCGCCTTGGAACAGATTTAATTCAGACGCCGAACTTTTCATGTACCGAACTTAATGTATAAATTATTATAGCGTATTTGGCGTCTGAATCATTTCAGCCGGTCTAAATAATTTGGGTCGGTTCTTAATTCGAATTAGGTTCGGCTTATGAGAAGTTTGGCAACTCAACCGGGCCTTAGATTCAGGATTCCAATCATAAGTAGGATTCTGGACTCTTCGAGTAGAATCTCAAATTCCAAATCCCAGAATTCCGCATTCCGCAAGTAACTTGTTTAAATATCCGATTCCGGTATCCGGATTACCTTACATGAAGGGAAACACAGCCATACACAAACAAACATAAAGAATTACTTTTTATGGAACTAGATCGATCTCTCACTATCAGGCAATTTGGGTACTTACCAGGCGATCAAAAAATTGACTCAGAAAATACCGTCGGTTACATCTAAGCGTGGACAGCAGACAAAAAAACATTTTCTAATAGGGTGCCAGACATGGCGTATTTGCCACCAAACACTTGGGGCCGATTATTTACACGAAGTCTAAGTTAAACAGTGTTTAAGGTCAAGCTGCAATTTAGACGTTGTCTCGATAAACAAAGGTTAAACCATGTTTGAAATGCATTATCAAAACGTTACTGAGCCGTGTTTTTTCCAGTCAGTGGTTAAACAATGTCTCAAAAGGAAATGTATTGTCTGAGGGGGTTATTCGTATGTACATTTAATTCCCTGTTGGAAGTAACGACTCAATATGGTCGGCTCTAAATCTGGTCGAAAAACCAATTTTAGCAAAGAAGAAAAACTTTTTATGGCGGCATTGGGAAGAGTATTTCCAGAAGCAAAAAATAAAGGATACGACAATAAAAGGTTTCAAAAATCCAACTCTCAAAATCAAAACGGTATCAAACGGGAAATGAATTAGATCCAAGGATGCCGGAGGCGGCTGAAACTCCAATTCAAGAAAGAACACGATTTGCAAAGTCGTGAAGCAAGAAAAACTAGTGGAAGAAAAGCTTTTGGTGATCTTGAAGTTATTCGAAGGAAAGAAGCAAATGTCACGAAAAAGGACAGAAAAGAAGGATAGTCAGGAGTACCGCAGTAATTTTCGAACGCCCCCGCTAAAACGAAACTCTCTCTTAATAGATGTTAGGTTCTCAGGGAATGACAAGGAATGTTCTTTTTTTGTTTCGCGATAGCCCATGAAACCTTGTGAATGCAGCAAATACACTACACCAAATAAATCGCCGATAACCTGCTAGAAAGTTCACACCTGTTGTATAAAATCTCAAAGCAATATGAAAATTAAGGCTGCAACGGTGCAAGCGGCACACCAGTCTTCTTGTTGAAAGATCTTCATTCAAAAATTTTAAGAGGTCAATTACCGAGTCCTTTCGAAGGGGAAAACGCAATCGAAAATCTTCGTCATCATATTTCTCCGAAGGGTAAAATCTGTCCCTATGGTGTGGAATTTGTTGAACATGCATTTTACCCTGGGGTAGTCTCTTTTCCCCTTAACTCTCTGTTGTGCACAGTATTCCGCCCGATTTGGGGCCATTTCATTTTGGATGGCGCTGAAAAAACCGTTAAACAACGTTTAACCTACATGTGAGCACGTTTAACTTTTTATTGTTCCTTAGTCGATGTTTAGACACGGTCTAAAGAAGGTTACGGAAGAACAGCGTTTAAACAATTGGTTTTTATGGTTTAAACATGGGTTAGACGATGACTTTCATAAACGCTATCTAACCTTGGTTTAAATAAATGACCGGCCCTTGAAGTTTGACAGCCGCTACGTGTAAAGCAAACTGTCGCGCCAAAGGTAAGTTGTTTTTACGTTTTTGATTAGCGCGTTCTGCTAATATTTCATTTTTCTTAAATTTCAGGCATATTTCTCGCTCAGAAACGGCACACTTGCCTCCAGAAATTATTCTTAACGTGTAGAAATTCTTGCAAAGAATATTTTGTCGAGTGAAAACAAATCAAATCGACAACAGCCGCCTACTTCAAACTTCGAGTGTTTGACGGCAAAACATATGATGTTTGCACCCGTTTAGAACATGTTTTTTCCTCACTTGTACACGCGCGCTTAAATGCAACTGACGGTATTGACGTTTTAGTGCTTGAAAATGTAGAAGAGCAAAAGAGCTGAAATAGGAATAACGAAATGCCAAAGGGAACAGGATGGTAAAACTGAACAAGATATTGCATTAGAACGTCAAGTTTGTCCTCTTATTTGTACGAATTCTGATGCTCCAGAATAATCGGTCGTGGAGATTACAATTTTGTCAGCCAAAGGGGTCTCTTCCGCCAATTTGAAGTTTGAAGCTCAGAGTTAACAAAGACAGATAAAATTACCGAAAATACCGCGGGTTAACGCCTTAAAATTACCAAGAAATACGGGATAACATAACCTCGTGCTGGAAAGAAAAGTATTGTAGAACTATTCGTAATCGATGGCAGGAAGCAAGATGTTTTGCCAGTAAGAAGTATTTTGTATTTAAGCCCCCTTATGAATCAAGCATGGAACCTTTATCTATCTCAGTATTTCATTAAAGCAGATACACTAAGCCGTTTTCAGATGGATTCTGGGATATTGAGACGACAGTAAAGAAGTGCTCTTGAAAATATTGATGGAAGAGGAGGGAAGGAGAAGACCTGCTTTACCGAGATATTAAAGTGTTAATAAGAAAAAAACATTTTTGGAATATTTTTTTAAATATACTCCAAGAGATGTGTGTAATATTCTTTTACAGTCTGTCCAAATATGACATCCGTGAATGAGATTTCAGGAGTCATCACCAGTCCTTTCTACCCCAGACATAATCCTTATAACCAAAGCTGCAGCTGGGAAATCAGGGCAAGAAAAGGAAAACGAATTTTATTTACTATTGAAGACATAGATTCTTATTGGGGGTGCAGTGGAGGATGGTCTTGCTCGTGTAATTATTTGGAAATTCAAGGCGGATCTATTTCGGGCCATGATGGTCCCAAATGGCGTGTATGTGGTCTTTTAACAGCCAACACAACGTATGATTGGTTTAAAGAGAGAATTAAAGTACTATTTGTCTTCGACGGTGGTCAGATACAATGGGGCCGTGGATTTAAAATATCATATACTCAAGTAAACTTCAGTGTATCCGGTAAGTAAATATTACTTGTTTCCTGTTGTGGAAGTGAAAACGAGAAAATGTTATCGTCAAGCTTGGGATATATCTTTCACTTAGGATTCATTTACCGACAAGTTTTGTGTTTTGTTTTTGCTTTTGTTGATCGTTTGTTTGGTTTTAACATTTGGGCAATTAGAATATCATCTGGGTGGGGCAAACACCTTATTTTCTCTGTGGTATGATTTGGTTGGCGAGGGACTGGCCAAAACGTATAGGCGGGGTGGGAGGGGGCGGGCACGAGGTTTTGAGCCTTGTGTAATTGTGCAATTTTCAGCTACCCTCTGTAAAACACAACCAGCTGGAATTATTGCTAAAAAATACTCTCAAATCGGTTGAGTCCATTTTCAAATGCAATTTTTACAAAATGTACAATTTTTTTCTACATTTCACCGCTGTTTAATATTTTGATACCTTAGTGTGGTTACTAATGTTGTTACATATATTATTGAAATGAAGCAAGCAAAGAAACAAAAATAGGTATCAATGTTAAACAAGCAGAAATATTAAGGCAATCCTAACAAACGAATTCAAAATATCAGAAACTTTTACATGGCAGAATTACATGTATCTAACAAGATTGTTTTGTGCTTTTGTTTGTTTGTTTGTTGTTTTTTTTCTTTCATTTTATAAATCACCGCCACCGTTAATATTGTTCAATAAACTCAACCTGTTCAACCGTCATCATCTCTTGCTCTTCGACATCTTCATCACTGTTATCCTTATCACCTGTCCCTTCACAACTGCCCTCTCCATCGCCGCTCTCGTTGTCAGTGCTCTCTTCATCTGTGCTTTCTCTGCTGACGTCCTCGCTTTTGTTGAGATCCTTGGCTATTGCCTTTTTCACAACTGCAATCAGGTTCTGAAGAAGCTCACTCTTGACGCTCTTAGGAAGTTTTTTGTTCTTGAGGATGGCTTTAACTCACTTAACTTGGCAACACTTGAAAAGCTGTACCTTGTTCACTGCTTTCGTATGAAGGAGAAATGCTGGAAAAAATCTTGCCGATATTAACTGACATCCTTTCATTTTCCTCGTCCTTGACTTTGTCCTTCCTTCTTTTCCTCGCCTGCTGTTTGTTTTCAGGTTTCCCCGGGTCGTAAAGTTATAAAATTGCTTGTGCTTTTTGACCAGATCTTCTATATTTTGCTTGATTTCTCGGACCTTTTCGTCATTCTAGCGAAGTGTTCCAAAACACGTTTTACGGAACTGGTACGCACATTCATTACCCGTCTTGAGTTTAGAAGTGGTCTTGGAAAATACTATAACGCGTCGTCATTTGAAATCACTTTGCGAACTTTATTTGCACTTAGGTCTATTTCTTTTCACTGTTTTGAGATTATTTTGCAATATGGTAAGATCTTTTGGTTTCAATTTCAAGTATAACTGTTGTTAAGAAATTTGCCGGCTGATGCACGATTTTTTTCGTTTTCTCTATATATACCCCTCGCAAAACTGGCATCCAACAGTTGGAATGCCAGTGATACTGAGCGATTAACCATTAAGGACGGTGCCCACTAATGGGAAGTGTTTTTTCCCAGATAATGACTATGTGACACAGACAGATCATATCAGGGGCTATTGAAATCCAAAAAGAAAACTGGGGGTAACAACGCATTTTTCAGAGATAACTGCGCTTCAATATGGAGAAAAACGCTGAATAGGCGTTTTTAGAAGAATGATAAACAGTTATTTTTTCCCAGAATTTCAAAGTGTACACGTGAACTGGCACAAATGCAATGATAATTGTTACAAGGTTTCAAAATAGGCAACAAATGATAACATAACAACTGCTCTTTATACGTCCTTTTTTGAAATATCAGTACAACTAGGGAGTTATCAGCAGTTACCCCTCTCCACGCGTTTGCCTCAAAAATAGTGTAAGCGACATTTTCCCCGAACCAAAAATTGATTGTTTGCTGAGTAGGCTTATTACTTTCATTTGGTAAGATAATATATAGATTTAGCCAGGGCTAAAAGCGAGGCTCCCATTAATAAATTTATAATTTTAAATCAAACAATAAACTTGTATTCCACAATTCAGTTAACTTTAGCGCACATTCGTGTGACGTTTCAGGGAAAGGCTAAGTGATTTTACTAAAAAATAATTTGCAAACAGCCCAAGAGTGAACCAAATGTCACATCGAGTTGATAGCCTCATAACTACACCTAAAAACTGGCAATCATCTTCGATCACATTTATATTAGCAGCCATAATGGCTCTTGATCACCGTAGATTAATTAGGCTTGGAAAAAAAATTCCGGCCGAATTTTTTGCGTTCGACAAGTTTACTTTACAAAATCTTGCCAACAAATCTGGGTGCGTGTAAACCAAGCTTTTATATCACTAATAATATACACGAAAAAATTACTCAATTCTGATTGGCTGAGAAAGGAGTGCAGCTCTTCTGTATCACGAGTGCAAAATGTGTAACACGAGTGCAAATTACAAATGCTTTCTGATTGGCTAAAAACACAAAAGAAACCAACAAGAACCAATCAGATTAGAGCTATTTCTATAGCAACATATTGGCGGAAATTTTGAGATAAGACGCGGAGGAAAATGGCCGGGGTTTTCAGCAAACAACGATTTGGTTTTGCAAGTGAAACAACGATTGAAGAGCTCAAAAATTTTTCCAAAAACCTAAACACAGTAAAGAGTACGTCTTTCTGGCTGAATGTATGGGAGACGTGGTGCAAACAGAAAAATATTGTCAACAAAATCGAGGAAAACGAGCCAGAAAAACTAAACAAGCTACTTGAAACATTCTACGCTGAAGTAAAAAACAAAAACAGTGACGACTACGAGCCAGACAGCTTAAGAGTGATGATAGCTGCACTTGATAGACATTTAAACGAGAAAGGATACAAGTTTTCCATCATAAGAGACAGGGAGTTCCACTCTTCCGAGCAAGTTTTAGAGGGGCAAGCTCGGCAGCTTCGCCAATCTGGTATGGGCAAACGTCCAAATAAAGCCAGAAGTTTAACTGAGGAAGAAGAAGAGGTGCTGTGGGAGGCAGAAAAATTTGGTTCCAAAACTCCAGAAGCGCTTATTTCTTCTATGTGGTGGCTTTTGACGCAGTTCTTTGGTCTCCGCGGCCGTCAAGAACACCACGCAATGAAAATGGAAGATTTTCAACTCTGCAAAAATGACGAAGGTATGGAGTTCGTGCAGTTTACCGAAGGTCCAACGAAGACCAGACAGGGCGGACTGCAGATCAAGAACAGAGATTTTCAGCCCAGAATGTTCTCTGTTGGAGGAGAAAGGTGTCCGGTTGCTATCTTCAAGCAGTTTGTCGAGCGAAGACCACTAAACATGCGATGGTCAGGTCCTTTCTACCTCAGTATCAAAAGAAACCGAACACTGAATGACAACATCTGGTTCAAAACTCAACCAATGGGCGTAAACACGATTAGCAACATGATGAAAACAACTGTGGCGAGTACTAGCCTTGAAGAAAGTCACAAAAAGTTCACGAATCACAGTGCTAGAAAGACAACAGTGAGCAAGCTAAAGAAAGCAAACGTTGAACGCTGAGATATTGTGAAGGTCACAGGCCACCGAAGCGTACAATCCCTTGACGATTACGATGAAGCCGACGAGGAAGAACAATGACGACTTTCCAGTGCAATATCCAAACGAAATTATGAAAACCCCAGTGCTGAGAAAAAGCGAATGGCAGTTTCCGACATCACAACAACTGTGGCTCCACTCGCTCCGGTAAACACGAAAGTGCCCGTACCACACATATTAGCCGGCCCATCGATGACAGCGACGAAGAAAACCAATTCCCTCCATCACTTTTAGGTTTTCAAGCTCAGAATTTCTCCGTGAATCCAACCATGATGAGGTCCCAGGAACAGACCATGATGAACACGTTCAACAACTGTCAAGTGTCTTTCATCATTGGCCGCTCGAAGCGAGCTACTGAGATTTCAAAACGACAGCCCAGTTCTTGTAAACGCCGAGCGTTCATTATTGAGGATGATTCTGATTGAACGTTTACTTTTCCGATTATTGTAAAGCGAGTTTCCTTTACATAAATGTAAAACGGTGTTAAATCAATCCGCACACATTTCCGAGTTCTAATTTGAATGATTTTGAACGTGTCAGTGTTGTAAAACTTTGCATTTGACAAACGTTGTAATCTGTTTCAGCCAATCAGTTGAATGAACTAAAAAAAGATCGCCTTTTTTGTTGTAGTTATTTAGTTGATTTTTCTCGTGCAATTTGGAATAAATAAGCACTTGTAAATTTTTCAAAGACCACAAAGTGCACTCGCCCTACGGGCTCGTGCACTTTTGTTGGTCTTTGAAAAATTGACTCGTGCTTATTTATTCCAAATTGCACTCGAAATCATGTGATTACCTATACTTATACATCACATCTGAGGTGAAACAGTACTATGAGGCACTGTTTTTATCATACAGACCTCGGACAACAGAATGTAGTATTTCACAATATTGCGATACAAATTGCTATCATTCAATATTCAGGACGATCGAAGCACGCGTGGGCTTTAGCCGTAAACCGTTAAAAAAATGGGCTTCTGGAAAAGCAGGAAACCGGAATCCGGAATAGGAACGGGAATGGGAACAGGAACCGGAGCCGGAACAGGAACAGTAATGTGAAGGGGAACCGATACAAGAACAGGGACATCATTTACTTTCAATTATTTTAATTCTAATTTAATTTATACAAACAATAAGAAAACTAGTCTGGTATCATGCTCCCCCCCCCCCGAATCTCTTTATATTACGGCAACGAAAAGTTAGAAAATGCCGCAAGTTAAATAAGTAAAGCAACAGCTTTGTGAGTGCATCGCGCTTTCTGTCAATTTCTTCACCGCCTATGCACAACTACGACGTAAATGATCAAATCTTAAGTTCTCTTGAGAACGTGAACGGCAGGAGATAAATTTTGTGTCTTTCTGAGCTCGGACACGGTCTCCAGCTTCATTTCCCAACCTTCAAAAGACTGGACAATTTGGAATTAATGAGAAATAGTTTGAATTAAGACCCGAATTCAATTTCTCAGTGGCGTTTTCGCTGGCGTTGCCGTTGTCAGATCTTAAGGTTCCTTTTGTCTCTCACAGGAAGGAGGTTATAACATGTTAATATCATTTGTCAGACCATCTGTAAACGAGACACCCATCGGAGACGTTTATTGGGCTGCCATACACCTCAGGTTTGCTACATAGATATATTGTACTGTGCTAAATTGGGAAGTTAACCAGAGATAGATGGTCCACAGCTTAAAAAGGGTATTAGCACGAACCCCCCCCCCCCAACCATCCCCATCGCAGTGAGCACTTCATCTACCTCAACCGAGTGCAATAGGGACCTTAATAAGCAACCGGAACGTTGACGTCCAGGACATTAAAAATGGAAACTGGAAGTGGATGTTTTCTGTCTTTCCGTGCTCTGACTCAACAAATTCGCACAGTGGAAGGCAAGAGGAAGAATTCAGATTTGTTGTGTGAGACAGAAGCGTTCCATCAAGCGACGGTCAGCGTTCTCTTTGCTTAAGTTCGCTATTATTGACACGAAAACACGATGTGTCATAAGCTAAAGATAAAGAACGGTTAATTAGATTAACATTTCAAGGGTGTTTTCTTGTTTCTTTAATTATTTCTCTGGCTTTTTATTTATATCACGATTATATCTCTTTCTTTTCATATTTCTATACACTGTTTATATTCCTCTTCCTAATCCGGTTCCTATTCCATTTTTCCCCTTAATTTTCGTATATAATCTGAATAGGAATTAAATCCAGGTTAACTTGAATTAAGGTAAATGTTGTCCCTGCTTTTATATAGGTTTCTTTTCCCATTCCGGTTCCTGTTCCGGTTCCGTTTCCTGTTCCTGTTCCTATTCCGTTGCTATTCCGGAAACCGGTTTCTCACTTTTCCAGACGCCCTAAAAAAATTTTGAAAATCATCTATACGGGCAGCCAGTTCTGACTTTTGCAGTGCTAGCGGTGGCGAGTGTTTGAATGAACATTGACACAGTTACGCTCCAACATAATAAAGAATTTATTATGTTTATTTTTTTATTTTAAAACGGTTTAACGCGCGGCATTTTGAGTGCTGAAGCGTTGTTCACTGAACAACTGAAAACAATCGGCACAGCGATTAAAATTACAAGAGACAGTACTAACAATCAATAAAAGAAATATAATTCGGTGAAACATATACAGAGACGACAATTTTCACTTAGGAAGACAAGTATTAAAGTGTCTCTAAAAATCCTAAGTCTTCGAGCTTTAAAGCTGAAGTTTATGTTTTAAGCCGGCTTTCCGGTGTTTGCTTTTTTCAAAGACGAACTCGAGGCAAAGAAATCGCTCAAACCTTTCTTTTACAACCAGAATTATAACTAAATATTCCTTGAAACGTTTTCTTTCTATTTGCGGTGAGAAAATGTCTAAAGGCTTTTTAAAGATCTGTAAGCTTATGACAAACCTGATACTCGGTTAGACCATTGTCTCAAATCTGACAAACGTGCGTAAACAAAATAGCCGCATAAACTACGCTCGACTTCATTAAATTAGGAATAAAAAACAAACATCAAATACAATAATTACTTAGGCTTACCACTCGAGGTGCAGCTCCTGAAAGGTGTCAAGTAAGGCCAGTATCGCTTCAGACTTTGCAACCCTTTTACCCATTAAGCAAGGTGAAAGCGAAAACGATGCCATGCGAAATCGGATTTCCGAATTTCACTCAACCAAAAACCAAATAAACAAACTAGCCATGAATAACAGAAGACTCCTGATAGCAGCTGAATTTCATTTAGTACATCCAGTGGAAAAAGAAAGTTAAAAACATCACAAGTTGACACAAAACTCTGTCAGCTTCAGCTGTCAAACTAAACAAGATTCAAGATGCTGCAAAAATTTTCCGCATGAACTCACCTGTCAAATTTTGACCAATCAGAGCATAAAAATTGGACGTAGAGCGTGACCAACGCGTGAACATGGCGAGAAAAGTCAAAAGCAACTGTCTTCCCTGCCTGTAGCTGCTGACTGAATTTTCGCGTCCGAGGTCAGCTTGAAATCAAAATTTTAATTGTGCGGCACATAAACACAACATATTTCATATGAATTAAAAAAAAATAAACTTGAGCCTGCGATCACTTGAAAACCAGTACCTTGTCAGCGGATAACTTCAAAAAATACTTGACCTCGATGGGTCGACACCTGAGCCCGCGATACAGTCAAGTGATACTGGTCAGCGGATACCTTGTTTGACAGCTGTCAATTGATCACAACATTGATGTCCAATATGTGTATCTGTTTTCCTGTGCTCCGATCCCAAACTAGCTAGAAAGTATGAGACTGAACATTGATCGCGATCTAGTAAAATAATTAACTGGTCAGCGGACAGCTTCCAAATAAATCACGTCACCTCAATGAGTTGACACATGAGCCCGCGATACGGTCATGGGATACTAGTCAGTGGCTATCCTGTTTTGACAGCTGTCAATTGACCATATTGTGGATGTCCAATGTAAAAGATGTGGTCTTGGCAAGACAAACCTGAGACACCCCTTCCTTCCTTTTGATAGTCTCCCCTACACGTACAATCCGTGGACGCGTACGTACGTACGTATTTACGCTCGGTCAATCACGTGACAACCAAACGAAAACAGGTTGACCATAATCTTCGCGCGCATGGGAGCCCGGCTAAAAAGTAGGGGTTACCACGCGTTTTTAGAAGTTAAATTGGTTGGTTTCGACCTTAACTTAATCGCTTTGGGGGTTATTTAAAATTTTTCCCATCCCCTCCCCGGTCAGTTTCACTACTCTGGGATATCCACAATGGCTAACAGTCAGAGAAAACAACAACACACGGAGGAGAGCAAAAACAGAAAGTGAAGCAGGACATTTCATGGACTCTAAGGAAAACAAATTACACTATTTCATTTAACTGGAGCTTCTCCGTCTCAAACATTTAACAAAAATGTTTGGAGAAGAGCAATCTTCAAGGTATTAGAGATTACTTGCAGCACACATAGAGTAGTATGGCGAGTTCAAGATCCACGGCTGGTGCTGTAAACAAACTGCTGTACTGTAGTGGAAAATAGTCGTCAGGGACTCTTAGACCGGTACTCCTTCAATCGTTTGCTTATCTGTACATGTCCTTAAGATTTTTTGTACTGTGGATGTAATATGGATTGTAAACCTTCTATCGTTTTCTATCATTTTACCGGGTACCTCGATCGAATATGTTATTGAACTTGCATACATTCAATGAGATTATATCTGTGCGTTCTTTGCTCTATCTCTTTCGGGCTTTGCCACGAGTGTCATATGACATAAATAATTTGCATTGACTCAAGTTCCATACATGAGCTCTCTTTTAAAAAAGCTGAATAGTGTGAAAGTAGTTGTACCGAATGCGTTTATGTACCCTCATATATGCACTGGGCTATAATGATCGTTTTGTTTTGTTTTTTTTTTAATGTAGCGTTCTGTGTCATGATGATTCACTATTTTTCGTTTCTAAATGTTCATTTTAGACTTAACAGTGTCTGTCTAAGAAAGTCTTACCTTACCTTAAGAAATACTATCTACAAGACAAACTGTCCATGAGTCAATAATTTGAATGCTTAGTAAGGCCAAAATGCTTAAATAACAATGTTAATAGTAAAAAGCATAACAATTTTTTATCATTTTTTCCCCGATGAAAGCGTTTTCTTTTCCGGTCCGCAACTATTTGTGAAGCTGCGATCTAACCAATCCAAACAAACTTGCGATAGTTTTTTTCTTGTTTGTTCAACAAATAAAAGCCTCCGACTCTCAATAAAAGGGAGATCTGTATGTACTCGAACGCTTTAGATCTATCTTATGGTGAATAATTACCTAAAATCTTACAAAATTAAAAAAATATATTCGGGAAAGTGTTTCTGGCCGATTAGCCGATAAAACGCGAAGGACGCGAGTGAAAGGTAAGCTTGCAGTTTCTCGATTAAGCGGAGGACTTAGGGCTATTTTCCGTCTGATTTACTGATCCTTGCTTACACCCAAGCTCTAAGCGTAACATCTTGAAGCAATAACTTTTGATGTTTTAGAATTGACTTCTGTTTGACTATAAAATGTTCGGTCAGATCGATCAGCGTAGAAAAAGCAACATGCGCGTACTTCTTCGGTTTTCAAAGAACTGACAAAGTAAATAGAAATTATCTTTCATCTGTTGAAAAACGACGCATCTCTTCCACAAGAAAAAACTAGAACCTCCCAGACTTACAGGAGACAAAACCAGTCCACGTGTCCTGCGTGTTGGGCATTTCTTTCGCGTCGCGCGCGACTACCTTGGCATGCGCAGAAAATGTGCGCAGTAACAATAGTGGGCACCGTCCTTAAGCGTACGCGCCCAACTCAGTTGCTAATGTTGTTAAACTCCTTATGAAGCGAGGCAACAGGTTAGAGAATTATGATTTTGTCATGCACAGAACAGGCTTTAATGGATTATTAAGAGGAAACCAAAAATAAATGTATTAATATTGAGGAGGGGGGGGGGGGGGGTTGAGTTCATGTCATTTCCAACCTTGCTTTAGGTCGGGTCAGTCATTTTTGTGCCGAAGAGAGAGGGTAGGCCATGTTTCTTTTTTTTATCAACCACATTCCAAATGCTCTTCTCTCCAATATGGTATGGCATGCCTATTACTCAGGATACATCACTGAGTCACTTGTAATCCTCTCTTAGGATGTTCCAACTACACATACCTCAACGAGTCCAGCAGAGCAATGACATATACCAAAAGTGTTTCTTACCCATGCGATGCAAATCTTAACGGATGGTACAGATTCACTGGAGAGGCTGGAACGCAAATGGCTGATTCTTGTGTCAACACCTATCATTGCGGGACCGAGTCACCTGGATGGCTGAACGGAACTCATCCCGACTTAACTGATGGGGCTGTTAAACGCCAAGTGTGTTTTAGCTCTTTTGACAACTGCTGCCATCATTCAAATGAAATAACTGTACAACATTGTGGAGCATTTTACGTTTACAAACTTGAAGGACAATCCCATTGCAATCTGCGTTACTGTGGAAACGGATCGCCATATGCACGAGGTATTAACAAAAATAAAACAACAATCGTTTTATTTCATTGCTTGACAGGCGTATTTTCATGCATTTTCCAATAAATTTTAAAAAATTCATGTCTTCTTTTCAATGAAAGTGCATTTTCTAGCAAAATAAGAATTAAACACTAAGCAGTTTTTAAGAAAATAATATAGAAGCAACTATGGCTCAGATAAAGTAGTAAGTGACGCTAAACAAGTAGACAAGAATTTGACAGATTGTACTACACGGAGTTTTCCTTTCTTTCATAGAATGTTACAATTACAAAGTTCTTAACGAGACCAGCAGATCGAAAACATATCATGGATATTATCATTATCAATGTGATGATATGCTGTCGACCGACTGGTACAGATTTAGTGGAGCAGCTGGAAATCAAATGGCAGAGTCTTGTGTTGATGGGTATCGTTGTGGCACATATTTCCCAGGTTGGCTCAATGGAAGTCACCCTACATTAAACGAGGCGGCTGTTCAAAGAAGAGTATGTTTCGGTTTTCACGGCCACTGTTGTATCTATTCGACTTACATCAGAGTCCGTAACTGTGGAGGCTTCTACGTTTACCAGCTAAAGCCCTTAACTGTATGTTACTCACGTTACTGTGGCAACGGATATGTATCATCGACACCAACGACGCCAGGTACACTTTTTCCTTCTTTTTTTTTTTTTTTTTTTTTTCCTTCCTGAAAAGAACGCATTAGGCATTTATCGACACTGTTTACCTTCATATGGTGAAAATGAACGCCATTTTTTCTAGCGTATTGCCACCGTTACTCCCCATAAATAAACCCTCTAATGAGAGAATTAATCAGACAGCCCTTAACGACAACTGTATGGTTGAAATATTGGTTTTCAGTCCTGAAGACTCTAAGTGAGCCTAAAATGTTCAATTTACATCCCTAAACGAGGCTTCAAAGGAGGGAAACAGCTTCCCGTACAGGACTAAGAAATCAGCCCCAGCCCACCTGATTCTGAAATCTGCTTATTTAGAGCTTACCAGTTTTTCTTAGTCTTTCCTATTTTGCACTTTACAATTGTGCCAAACATAGAATATACGCTCTTGGTTGAAGCGTTGACGAAAACGGCTAAAAACATATATAGAGGATATTACATGGCCGCGCGGAGATATGAAATTTCTCTTCTCGTGTTGAAAAATATTTCACTCGTTCGCTGTGCTCACTGGTGAAATATTTTTTTCAACGCGAGAAGAGAAATTCTGCATCTCCAAGCGACCATGTAATGTTCTATTTATTATATAAGCACCAATGAAAGACCAAACCATTTTACTTAATTAGTTTTTTGGTCTGAAAGCATCCTCGGAGACCCAGGGGCAGTCAGTCGGGCCGGGTTAAAAGGCGCGACGAAAGTTTTCAAGCATGGGCGGAAGAGCCCCTGGGTACCGACTCTCACCGGACCATTTCCAAACGGTCAAGAGAATGTTGGCTCTTGATTGGGCACAAAAAATGCTTTGTATTATTGTGCCCAATCGGCGAACAGTTTCTCCTGAGTTCTTTTCGTGATTTCGTACACGACAGCTTTATCTCGCCACAGTTGCCCGGTTCGTTCACCAAGCTTTCCTAACCAGAAACGAAGGAACTACCGATGAGTCAAAAAACGTTTCGGATGCTATCAGCAGGAGCAATTCAATTGCACTGAGAAATTCTGTTTCTGACGGATCACAATTTATCGTAAATAATACGAAGTTTAAGATGTGACGGTGACGAGAAAGTAAAAAAAGCAATAGCTTGACAAGACAAAACAATAATTTTCCACGTGCATCATGCTTTCTTGTATATTTCTTTGCCGTCACTGCACGACTACCACGTGAAAATGCCTAATTTCACGTTTTGTGAAGGACGTAAACAAGCAATGACAAAATTTTCTTTCTCTTTATGAACTTGGATATGGTTGAAAGAAATTCATCTCCAGAAGAGTTCGCTTGCATTTGATAAAGTAAGTGAATTGGAATAATCACGATAGAGACTGAA